AGCGTCGTCTCCTTCTACCTCGTCCTTCTGCAATAAACCGTATCCGCAGGAGCCAGCGCTCCGGTTGCGTGACTCCCTCCCTGTGCGTGCAGGTTACTTTTGTGCGAGCCCTTCCTCATGGCTGCTCAGTCGTCACCACGACTCCTTGCCCTTACATGGTCAAGGCAGAGAAAGGAGAGTTTCCAACCGAGGGGAGATCCAGTGCAAGACTTACTGACTGTCTGTATAAACATTTACACAAATTTCCCATGAGACCGGAAGGCAGAATTTAGATTGCTTGTCCCCTCTGGGTATCGGGAATCCCAGAGCAGCAGGCTCAGGGTCAAGACATAGTTTGCAAATCCACTTGCAATTAACTCCTTGCTCTCTCTCTCTCTCTGAAAGCAGCTCTCAGGGCAAAGTCTAAGCATACCCACACGAGTATAGACGTCCCTATACCTACAGGTAGAAGCAGACACAAAAGGGAAACGACCATTTCTTCATTAGCTATTAACATTACCCCTAGGTGTCAAAGTAGTAGTCAGCCATTTACTCCCAGGCAGCCAGCAAAAGCAGAGTCCCCTGGAAGTGCAGACATTTAGGTGGTGATGGATTTATCAAGTGCATGTCGACACTGGGTTACATGACCTAGATAAAGGCTTGAGAAGACAACACGACTGTGCATCTCCATCACATCCCTGAGAGAGAGTGATTTATTGAGCATTGGTGGTGCTGAAACACATTCCCTTGCTGCTCTAAAAATAAAGCGAGGAGTCTGAGTGCTTCCCTGCTAGCATTTGAACTCTGTTCACAAACACCCAGCCAAGTTTGAGATGGGTGATTTAAAAGAAACCTAAAATCAGGAAGGGAAAATGGCAGGAGGAAGTTCCCCAGCCTTTCCCAGTTCTTTCACACACAAGGGTGAACATCTATACACAGCGCAACCTTCTTGGCCGGAGCCCCATTTATACAAACACTCTAATTACATGAATGCCCAATCCGGTCACTAAAATCCAAAAAAAACCCCCCAACCCAAATACCGGCATGTATACAGGGGACTTGTACTAGATACTCTGTCATATTATTATTCCAATATTTCTGGACTGTTGAGTACTGGTTTTGTTTCATGCTCCTCTTTCATTTGAGTGCCGTTTTGCAACCAAGATCTCTCAGATCTTGGAACATTTTGCAGATGGCAACAAGGCACAGGCAGAAAGCGAGGGCCTTCTGTAATTCGCAGCAGACAAATAAACCCCATGTGCGTGGCCAAGAGCACAGAGCTGGCAATCTAGGTACAGCTTATACTGGGCGGGGGGTATATTTGGGGAAGACTCCATGCCTCCGTGTCAGACACAAACTCCATTTTGAATGTGCAGCTGGGCTGTCTTCTCTGCTGCCTTTCGCTTCTGTACTGAGATAAAACCAGAAGGAACAATAAAGGAAATCCTTGCACCTGGCGGTAGCTTAATAACAGAGTCATAAACTGTGATTCTCTCTCATCCAAACGGAGCATCTGTCCACACGGAGACGGCTACTGTGCAGGGCAGAACAGGCTCACCAACCTCCCCCCACACACATGCACGCACCTGAAACCCATGGGGGAAATAATGAAGCTCTAGGTCTCCTAAAGAGGCTAATTAGGGGACTCCTTGACAAAGGAGCCTACAGAAAATAGCAACAGAACGGGAGAAAGGAAGACAGACAGACTCCCCAGGTGCCATACCACGTGCCCATGGGGAGAGGAAACATCCTTCACAGAGCAGCATCCTCACGCTCAAGACACAGCTTGCAAATCCACTTGCAGTTAACTCCCTGGGTGGGGAGGAAATGGAAGCAAGGAGTTGTGTGCAGACAGTCCCTATTTTATCTGGATCTGCATATTTTTGTGCTAGCTAAAGTTGAGAGAGCTAGTTTGGGGATCCCTTGGAAAGTCCATGCATCTCCCTGCTTCATCTCTGTGCCCCCGAGGTGGTGAAGTGTAAAACCAGCATGCCCACAAGGCTGGGACTTTGCAGAGGGGTGCGTTTGGTCCCTGGAGGTGTAAGGGAGTCACAGCACGGGTCCTCGGGGCATTCAGGCCCCTGAACCACCCGGCTGCATTTCTGCAGAGGGGCAACAGACTGCAAGAGGCCAAGGACTGATATGGTGATGGCAAGGTGGGACCTAAATACATGCACCTGGGAAGTGTGCAGCGGGGAGCAATACCAATGCTGCTTGGCAGAAGGGCCTACAAGCCTCCTAACACCTCCCATGCAACAATTACACCCACAGGGGAAGCTTTTTGAGGGAGGGACTGTCTTTCTGTTCTGTGTCTGGACAGCGCCTAGCACATGGGGGGCCTGGCTGAGGATCAGGCCTTCTAGGCGCTGCCGCAATACAAAAAACAAAAAGTTTCATCCCTTGAGCAGAGTCATCTGTTTGCAAGTCTCATTAGGACTTAGGTCCCCCAGTGCTGCCTGGACCATCCAGCAGCTGTCACCTTTGCAAACAGGTGGCACAAAGGAGCAAACTGGCTCTTTCTGGTGAAGAGAGCAGGGCCCACACGCTCATCGGGCCCGGCACGTCAAAGGTCTGTGAGCAAATGGGCAGATCGAGGGATGCAAGATTTCGGTGGGGAGAAAAAGGGCTCTTTCAATGTCGCAGTTTCTACGGGATGGATTCCTTATCCTCGTCGTTAAGTGGAAGGCCCACGTGACCTGAGTTTTCAGGCCGTCTTACGGATTGCAGCCGCTGGCACTGAGCAAGTCAAGTTAATGACTTATTAAATAGACTTTCCCCTTCATCTTCTATTTCACCTCTTAGGAATGAGAGAGTCTTCCCGAGCTATCGTGAGCGTGAAGAAATGACACATGACAAGAGACAGACCCGGCAACGCAAGCCACCCAGGCTTCCTCATCGGATGAGAATAAGCTTACCGACAATCTTAGCTTGCAAAATGAACCCGGCACCTGATGACTGTATCCCAACGGGAAGAGCTCTGCTAGTAAATATTTGTATCGCTGAAATCACAACGGCTCTCCCAGGAAAGCTGGACCGTATCGACAACGAGCTCCCGGTCCCCTGCGCGGATTCATTGCTACGCGCATGCAAAGAGCCGAGTTTCATCCTTTCCCCAGCCCTAGAGGAGAGGCTTTGAGCTTTTGCATCACAGCAACTGTTTCACCAGAGCTTGTGACCTGCCATAAAAGCTGCCAAAAGCAGAAACCTGGGGTGTCGAATCTTTACAGAAAAGGCTGCACTTTTTCCCCCTGCACAGATGTTACTATTGCTGTCCCCTTAGGTTCCTGTGTTTTGGGGGCAGCTTCAGTCCCTCCATGTGTCGTAGCTCAAGCAGCCCCTTAAAAATAATTGAAGTATAACTGCAAGTCATGAAGGTCTAGTTAGTCACTCCATCCTGGCAACCGCATGTGTGTAACAACCACGTCTCTTTATAATAACGGACACAAAGGATTCTCGGAGACTTTCTGCAACATCACCTGCTTTCGCCAGTCTGCCAAAATACCCCTCTCTGCGCTAACGTACGTAAACGTGATTTCTTATCATGCCGGCCGAGAGGCCGCCAGGAAACAAAAGCACGCTTTGCATTTGCAAACAGCGCCCTGCAAACTTCGCTAGACAAACTGTTTAAGCCAGTGTCAGAAAGACGGCTAAAATCCTCGTGGCTCTACAAAGCCCAGGTCCACGCCATCCACGCGCCGACTGCGGGAAGGTTTCGTGGACCTTAGGATTAAAAAAAACCCAAAACTTTTCCTAAACCAGAGCTGGTACGGATAGTTGGAAGCGCGCTAGTTCAAAGCAGGGGGGGGGGTAGGTGGTCTTGGCAGGTTCGCCCGCCCGATGAAGGGCGTGTGTACCCGAAAGCTCGCTACGAAGAATTCCTCTAACTATTTGAGCCGGTGTCATTAATAAAAGATATCGGATTGACCCGCAGACCCTCGCCTGCCTTTGTTCAAAGCATCGACAGCAGCGCTCACCGCTGGAAGCAGCAGACGGCTGCGTCCCCGCCGCAGCCACGGGGACCGGAGCGGACTCGGCGCCCAGGGGTCCTCCTGCGCCCCGGGGACGCTCCGGGCACCAAGCCCAACCCTGCGTCCGCCCTGCTTTCTGGGGGGGTGAAAGGGGTCTGTCGAGCATCTATCTCCTCTCCGGGGGTCGGCGGGGCAGCACCCCCTCGGGAGCCCAGCCCTACCTGTGCGAGCTGCCGTCGTCGTAGACGAAGCTGTGGTTGGTGTAGCCCTCGGGCCGGCCATCCTGCGGGCCGGCCGGCTTGTAGATGCCCGGCAGGCTCCGCTCCTCGCCCGACAGCGGCATCGGCGCTCACGCCCGCCCGGTCCCGGTCCCGGCAACCCGCAGCCCGCAGCGCACGGCGCCGCGCGGGGGCAACGCCGCGGGGCGCCAGACCCTCCCCGGAGCGCGCGCGGCTCTCCTTCACGCCCAAGGGGTGGGCGTCGCACTGAGGGAACCCACAAACCCGGGGGGGAGGGGGGGGTCTCTTGGCTGCCTGCTGCCTAAAACACAGTTCGGTCCCTCCCGAGGGTGCAGGAGATGCCCCGGGAGGTCTGGGAGACCCTCCTGCCCCGGCAACCTGCTTTGCTTAGACCCAGAGGGGAGGGCTGTACTCTAAAGGAACCCCAGGGACTTGTGGGGGGGGCTTCCTCTGGGCTTTCTGCTTCCAGAGATGCGGCTTGGTCCCTCCCGAGGGTGTGGGAGACCCTCCAGAGAGGGCTCTAGCCTCCAGACACTGCTTTCTTTAGACCCAGAGGGGAGGGCTTTACTCTATAGGCACCCCAGGACATCACGGGGGGCTTCCTCTTGGCGTTCTGCTTCCAAAGATGCAGCTTGGTCTCTACAGAGGGTGCAGGAGACCCTCCAGAGAGGGCTCTAGCCTCCAGACACTGCTTTCTTTAGACCCAGAGGGGAGGGCTTTACTCTATAGGCACCCCAGGACATCACGGGGGGCTTCCTCTTGGCGTTCTGCTTCCAAAGATGCAGCTTGGTCTCTACAGAGGGTGCAGGAGACCCTCCAGAGAGGGCTCTAGCCTCCAGACACTGCTTTCTTTAGACCCAGAGGGGAGGGCTTTACTCTATAGGCACCCCAGGACATCACGGGGGGCTTCCTCTTGGCGTTCTGCTTCCAAAGATGCAGCTTGGTCTCTACAGAGGGTGCAGGAGACCCTCCAGAGAGGGCTCCAGCCTCCAGACACTGCTTTCCTTAGACCCAGAGGGGAGGACTTCACGCCATGGGAACCCCAGAAACTCCTGGGGGGCTTCCTGTTTCTAGAAAAGCAGCTTGGTTCCTCAAGACCCTCCAGCGGGGGGTCCTGCCTCATGACCTTCAATGCAGGCACAAAGGCTTAACATAAAAAGAAGCCCTGAGGCTCTGTCCTCCCCCACCAGGAGTTGAGGTAAAAGCACATTGCCTGCAGGTGACCCCAACCTGGGCTGTGGCACCCCCTGCAATGAGTAATGCTGTGTTCCCGGCTAGGAAGCTGCTCGGGGCAAGTCACCGTGATCAGTAAATGCACCGGTAGTAGAGGTGATGGGCCAAGGCGGCAGGTCCGGGCCCACCTGGGCTGGATGAAAAGGGAGCAGAGGGAGTCGCAGCCCTGAGATGCTGATCCAAGACTCACCCTTTAATGCAAAAGCATGGAAAGGTTTGCACTTGGGAGAGAGCAGCTGCAAGCAAAATAACCTCGGGTGCAAGAGGAGCTGCTAGAGACTGCTAGGGAGGCTGCAGGGTGGAGAGAGAGCCCAGGGAGCAGCAACGCTGTGGATGAAAGAAGAGGGCTGGGGGGACCTCTAGCCCCCTGGGAGCAGATGTCACAAAGCCAGGAGGGCCAGGGACAACCAGTTGGAGGAGGAGGAGCAGGACATGGTGGCCAGAAGATGCTGAGAAGCAGGCGGTGCACAGAAGTGTAGTAGAGAAAGCTCATTTTGACAACGCCTCTTCAACGAATAGGTAGGAAAGGGCCTGGGCTGCAAGTTTCTCCTCCTGGCAGGTCCCAGGAAAACCCTTCAGCTCCCAAAGCATATTCCTTGACCAGCAAACAAGGCACGAATTCTGCTTCCCTCTGCCCCAGGTGTCCTGCGTTCCCAAGTCAACAGCTCTGACGTCCTGCAAACCTGCGACCCAATTTTATTTCCAAGACTACAGATGTCCGTCCCAAGCCCTGGATTATCTTTTAGCAGCCACCTCTGAATGATGAAAGCTCTTGAAATGAAGCTCTCCTTCCCAACGCAGTTGCATGTGGAGAGAGAGGACCACGCTCTGAGTCGGGATGAGGCGTGCTCCAGGGCCTCCTCCACACTGCCGGCTCCATTGACCTGTCAGCAGGTCCTTTCCCACCGAGCCCAGCGGCCTGGCAGCTCTAGCTCTGCTTTCTGCAGCGGAGCAATGCAGATTCCCAAGCCTGCCGTTGCTTGCAGATGTAGACCAGGCATCAAGATCCTTGCAACCTCAGGGATACCGAACTGTGCCTTTGTAAGACTGCAGAGCTCTGAAGAAACTGTAACTCCCTAACCCCGACTGCATTTCCTTGGAGGGTGGTCTAGGTGCACACGTTAACAGCCATCTTGCATGCTTTTATGGCACGTTTCCCGGCAGGAACACCTCACCATCCTCATCTGTCCAGCATGACAGACATCCGTCCTGTGCCCCAGCGCGCTTCGACCGCTGGCTCCCACGTGAAGGCTCGTGGGTTTACGGCTCTTGCTAGGCCTGTAGTAGACTTTGTCTCTCTCTCAGCTTCTCGTCCTCCTCTTCTCCCTCCATACGGACTCTCCTGCACCAGAAATCATTCGAGAGAAAAGCAATGAATACTCCTGTGCCATCTACCCACGTGATGCTTCTTGACCCTTCATGATTTTATGCCAAGCAAAGCAATGCTTCATTCACTAACCGCCTCACATTACCCATGGTAGCAAAATGCTAACATGCCAATCTGCAAGGAGAGGGGGTGGGTAACGTAGCAGCTGATTAACATGCGAGGTGGTAACTCAGAAGTGGAGGAGGAATCATTTAAGATGGTTCAGGTGGGGGTGGACACACGTGAACAAGAAAGAATGGCCAGAAAGTGGCGGGGGGTGGGAGGGGACAGAAACCTTTTCACTCTGATGTTGAATCTGAGACTTCGAGGTCAGAGGGAGTGGAGTGACCTTGCTTCAATACAGCAGTTCCGGGCAGTGCAGGGAAACTGCGCACAGCCTCCAGACTGCAGCTATAGGTGGGTTTGGGTGAAAGACCTAGCACCTGGCCTAGGTTAGCGTTCAAGAGAGCTGAATCAGGCCCTTCCTCTAGAAAGCACCGCTCGAGACCACAGAGCGATGCTCCAGCTAGTTCAGGGTCTGGCAACAGTAAAGTGCTGTGAGCCCAGAGCCGTGCCTGGCTAACGCAGCATGCTGCTGCTACGAAGCTAGGCCAGGTGTCCCTCCCTGGCTCTGCTGCCCTCCGCAGCTTGTTCTGCCATAAACGTGCCCAGCTGGCGGGCTCTGCTGTGAACTGTCCCTAGAAATGTGTTTGCTTTTACATGTCATAAGGGAAGCAGCATAGGGAGATCTGGGCTCTTTCCCAGCTCTGCCATTGACCTGTTGGGTGACTCTGGGCAGCTCAGTCCCCCTCTCTGTACCCATTTCCCCCCCACATCTCTAAAAGGGGATGAATGCTTTGTGAAACACCAAGGTCTATGGATGAGAACGGCCACAGGGAAGCCACCCGCTCCCTCCATCTCTCATAGGGTTATTTCTCCCTTGCTCTGCCAAGTATTTCGAGGCGTGTGAAAGGTGCTACAGCAAAAAAGAGCAACCCAACTCTGCAGCGAGTTGCTGGTGCCTGAGCTGAGAGCTTTCTGGCTATTTATGAGCATGTCTCATCTTCTTGTTCCACATTACAGCCATCCCCCTTGCACTCTGGGCCTCTCAGAAGTCCCCAGAAGATGCTGGCTACCATCCAGACCTCCAAAAAAATAATTTACTTAGCATTCCCAAGGAAAAACACCCACTGACCTAAATGAATTTAGTGTACGCTGATGAGATTGCCACGGGCTGAGCCTCTGTCCTGTGCAAATGCATCACAGATCTCTCCTGGCAGAGACAAAGGGAATCAGAAAGGGAACATTGCCTTGGAAGGACTCCAAACCCGCCCCTGTACAAAGCCTGGAGCCCGCACGAGCCTGTCGCTGCCAGGGTTAGTTCACGGACGCCTCATGCTCTGCCCCAAGAAATATCAGGCTCTTCCCCACCCCTGAATGTGAAGGGAAGCCCAATACTCTCCCTATCCTTCTTCCTTCCCAACTGCGCTGGCATGCCAGCTGCTGGGGTTGTGTCAAAGGAGAGGGGAAGGGCAGGGGTCTCACCCATAGCTCACATATATGGGGCAATGGCAAGCATGGCGAAGCAGAGATTTTGGGCCAAAGTGGGTGGAAATGTCCTGTTATGCAAAACGAGGTGGGGGATGCGGCTGTGAATTGGCCAGCCTGCAGTAGACAGGAAGACGACATGTCCCATGGAAGGATCAAATTATTCCTACCATTTCCTTTCCAACTGACACACACACACACACACACACACACATATATATATATATAAAAAAAATAAGCTCACAGAAGGAGCCAGTTGTGCAACTGAAATGGTCAGTGCAAACAAAAAAAAAAAAGAAAAAAAATCACAGCTCCGACACCAGACAAAGGGCAAGAAAAAGATGAATGGCTGAATTCCTCCGGGAAAGGAGAGAACAACAACATTACAAAAAGGGCATCGCAGCGTTGAGGACCCAGCAGGCCGCTTCGCTGCGGGTGAGAAGCCGGGCTGGGCTGGCACAGAATTAGGACCGGAGCTGGAAGGAGCTCCCAGGTTGGTGCTGGGGCTTGGTAAGACTTCCTGAGTCCGAGTTATGGGGCAAGGTTGTACAGCCTCTCGGGGCACAGTCAGGCTCAGAGCTGGTTGCTTTGTCACCTTACAACCAAAAACAATATTTACTCTCACAACATCCCATGGCGCTGCTCTGCCTCTTTGCACGACACGCTCCTTCGCGTCGGAAGGAAAGAAACAATTTGCAGACGCTGAGCAATGGTAAATTGGATGTGCCGCACAAGTCCTTTCACTTGTTCCTTCGCAGGACTCCGAGGGAAGCGCAGTACATACGCTTTCCCCTGGAGCTCGCAGAGACACAGTAATTTAAGACCTATCTCTGCATGCTGGAGTGGGAACACATGCTGGAGACTTTTGATTTCACTGTGGGATTTAAAGAAAGAGTCAAGAAGTCCAGAATGCTTTCTTACATGCAACTGGAGCAAAGCTGCTTACAATTTGCTGCGGAAAGGACTCAGCACTGAACTGCAGGATTAGCCTAACGAGCCAAGAGCTCAGACATGCCGAGGGCGATCCTTGGAGGGTCATGCTCTTGAAGCTGAGGCCTAGCAGGCTTTGGGGATTCTCGCAGCACAACAGGTTATACACGTGTTCGAATCTTTGCCATACCAGCACCTCTGTAAGCACCGTCCCATGACCCGTGCTCCTACACCTTCTCCCCCATCACCTCCTGGTGTTTGTTCACTCGCCGCACATGTTAATCTCATCAAGCCTGATGCAAACTCAACTTTGGAGCAGGGCTCTATTCCCAACGACGGTGGGGTTTGAGATCCTACCAACACAGCAAACAAGAGACGATTAGCCAAGCAGCGCTCAGAAGCCATCCATTTCTGAGAGCGCCAAAGATACAGACACTTTAAAGGAAGCTCTTTATCATGGAAATTATTTCTTCTTTTCATTCTGAAGCTTAGAAGCACTGAGAAATGATTGTGTCCTGATTTTATATTAACATATTAATTATAATATGCATGATTAAATTCCAGCCGCTGGGACAAATAATCACAAGAAACAATCCATCACTGCATTTGTTTTCACAGGCCCATGAAAGCTTTGCTATACAGTCAGCATGGTTTAAGAGGTCTGTAGCTTCCCATTTCAGTTGGGAATAAGTGATAGACAGTGGGCATGAGACTCAGACACACAGTGTATAAGTACCTGTTTTACGATGGAAACATGAGTTCAAATTCTCTGCCAAAAGGACAAAGCAGGGCTTTTTGGGATGGTCCAGTGAATTCAGGGCCTACGAACATTTGCAACAGGAGTAGAGTTTACCGCTGCAACCACTCTCACTTATCCCTTCAATTATATCTGTAATTCATGCTTAAAATTAAAGTCTGGATTTCCAGAAACAACCAAGAGGGTTCAAAGAAACCTGCCAGAAAGCGAATCACCGCACTCCAGCAATCACCCCCCTGTGCAAGGAGGTACTTGCTTCGCAGCATGAACTGTGATATTCCAGGTCCTGGTGCCCGCACCCATCCTGGGAGCCTCCCTCTTGCTCAGTTGTGCCTACCCCTCCTTTTCCCACCTTCGAGAGCCATTTTTTAATTTGCTGCTTTGCCAAAAAGCTTGCAAAGAAATGGTGGCTTTGATGAAGTCTTGCAGCTCTGTTATGGTAACTAATGTAGAGAGAGGAGAGCTAAAAACCAAATTTATGTGCAATGCCAAAGCATCAAGAGTGATCAATGTAGTGGCACATACCATATTTATATCCTGACTTGCCGTGAACCGGTTTGCAGGTGGTTATGCTCCAGGTTGCTAATCCTGCGGGTGCTTCTGACTTCCGTTGTGATTTCTAGGTGAGAACTGGAATGTTTCTTTAACATAAAACTACGCACGGAGATCCGGCATTTGGAGCTCAGTTTCCTTGGGAAGCGCCGTCGTTAGGGAAGGGGCTGAAAATGTGGTCGTCCCCGTTCCGCTCTCAGCTCCTCATGCAGCAGGCAAGATCCTTCAGCATCTGCCCTTCAGCTGACCTCTCTGTAAAACAAGAATAAATGAGTGTTTAAGCCCAGAAGGGACCGTCGGATCGTCTGCCTGTTCTCTCACATATTACAGGCTATTAAATTTCAATTTCTGCATCTGAAGGCATCAAGAGATGGAGCAGCTGCCACTTCCTTGGCTAGTTTGTTCCACCGGCTAATCACCCTCATCGCTTACAAGGAGGTATTTGTCATGCGAACGTGCCTGCTTCAAGCTTCCAGCCACCGGTACTCGCGATGCCTTTCTCCAGAGCCCTTCGGTACCCAGTGCTCTCCCACGACGATGCTTGTGCACTGCAATCAAGTCACCCCTTCATCATCCCTTGTCAAGCTAAGTAGTCTCTCCCGCCGAGGTGCTCTCTCCGGCAGCATCTCCAGCTTACACCTGGGTGCTCCCTTTGCTCGTTGTGAACACCAGCATAGCACTCGCAGTCTCCCAGCCCGCTAACGTTGCCCCGTTATCAAATGAATATCAGCAAGTCCCAGGTGTTGCTGACCATCTCTTTTTGGACTGCTACATGCAAGCTATCTATGCCCACAGATTTTTTAATTTTTTTTAAAAATGCATATCCCCAACAGATGATATTTAATATCCTCCTTCCTAATGGACTGGAAAGTCCTTCATCAACTTCATGTGGCCTATTACTCATTACAATGTTTACCTACTTCACAAGGTCAGCTGAGGCTGGGAGGCTTAATTAATATTAGTAAAGCACTCTGAAAGCCTGTGATGAAAGGCGCATTGTGCAGGCATATTACTACCATTACCCCATTTTGAATAATTTAAGATTCTGTGGTTTTCTACAATTTTTCATCTCTGGTTCTAATGACTCCTGCATCTGCAGAGAGAAGCATTAGTCTCAAAGTTATTTTATTTAAAAAGTAGGGATCGCGCAAAAATGCTCCTGTTCAAAAGCACGGGTCAAAGGTGTTATGTAATATTGGGAGCGCTCAGCTCATCAGGGTGAAAGCCTTCTGAAATGCTAATGAGGTTACCACTTCTTGTGTCACCTCATTAATAAAATTAAATTAAATTAAATAGGGCATTCTTTGCATTTACTTTCCCCACTTCCCTGCTGAGTTCCTGCTTTCAGTTTGTTGCCATTTCACTTCTGTGCATCCCCTCCCGGTCTGGCACAATGAGCTGCCCGCCCACACCCCACCCTCCTTTACTAAAAAATATGGAATTTAATAAAGGACTATTTTGTGTCGTCACCTTAACTTTGCCATTGCTCAGCTCCGAGGTTGCAGAGTGCCTGGCTAGAGGCTTGCAGAGATGTGTGCAGCCGGGATGATATGAGGAAGGACTCCCAAGTCTGTGTCTCCACGTGCAAGGGGATTTGGTCAGTCCCTGCCTACCCGCATGCCGTTGGCCAAGTTACTGGAGGTCACGTGCTCTCTCCATCTCCTGATTTATTCATATGGAACAGGGATAAAAACACCTGAAACTCCCCCCCCGCCCCCATTCATTTAATGATTGCAAAAAAAATAAAATAACAATTCATTTTGCAAATTGCTAAATCAATGCAAGGAACAGCCTACAATTCCATAAAACATGAAAGGTTCCAAACTCAGAAGCTAGAAAACGCCAGACTTCGAGGCCGTCTGTGCTTGTGCCGACACGGTTTGGCACAGATGATGTCGCACTGCTTTCCCTGCGCCTCCGGCAGGGCACAGGATGGACAGCAATCAGACAGCAAGTAGCAGCTCATTATTTCTTTTTTGTACTCCTCGTTACTGCTTGGCCCCGTGCCACCTTTGCAGCACACCCTCCAAGTGCGGCTCTGCGTGCCGAGTGACTCATCTCCTCGTGGGATCTTCTGGGGCGCTCGTCACCCCGATGCAGATGTTAACTAACTTTTCATCACACCAGCCCTGGGAGAGCGGTCAGACCGCCTTCATTTTACAGGCGAGGAACTGAGGCACAAAGAGAGAGAGGCTCAAATTGCCCTAGTCTCGGCTTATGGTGGGAGCCCAGTTTGAAACATCCAGGACCAGCTTTGTCAGAGTACTTATCTAGCCCTTTGCGTGGCCAAAGCATCTCAAACTGGGCAGAAGCAGAGGAGCACAGCCTATCAGTGGCCATCTCTGAAAATTTAGGTTTAAGTGACTTGCCTAACATCACGCAAGAGATCTGTGGTGGAGACAAAGAGAGAATACAGTGCTCCAGGCCAGCATTTATCTGTCCAAACTACAAGATCTTCCTTTTCACCCCTGCAGCCTGCTGCTTCAGTGGATGCAGACCTCTCGACTGATGCAACAAGCAGGGTAAGGTCAGAGGCAGCAGCATCCTTCACCGCTCAGCACTGACTCATTCCCTGAGCAAAAGCCACTCTCTGCATTGAACAAAGCAAGCGTTCTCCAGGAACAAAACAGCGAGTGAAGACGCAAAAGACTGTGTCATAACACGTACGCACGAAGCAGCAGAATGGAGGTGACGTGGGTCGCTTGAAGTCTCGTGCGTCTTCACCATCTCCGTAATGTTCGCAAGAGGGTCTCTCCATCGGAAGCTCTCTTTTGGAGAGTCTTTTTTTTTTTTTTTTTCCTTTCTGTTTTTAAGAGAAAACCAATTAATTTGTTTGGAAAATGAGAAAGCAGGAAGCCATCCTACCCCCACATGGTCCTTGGCACGTCAGGATCTTGACACCTCCAGTGCAGCCCTCCGCCCCTCGAGGGCACGGGGGAACTGGCAGCAGCAGCAGGTTGGCATGCATTGAACTGTGCATCTGCCAGCCGGTTGCACCGGAGGAGACTTAGGAGCCTTGAGTTCCCTTCCTCCATCTGAAGATGAGCATGTTGCATGTTCCTTTTCCCCACCGCCCTGCAGCCTTGCCCCTGGGGTGTCCCCGACCCCTCCTCCCCGTGCACCCCCAGCTTCGCTCTGGGACCCCTCAGATCCCACCCCCCAGGAGACTCTCTGCAACCTGTCCTCCCTCCCCAGCCTGTCTTCATCTCTCCTTACTCCACTGCAGCAGGAGGGGCCGAGGAGAAACCACCTCCCTACGCACGGCACCGCAGCGGCCTGGGCTGCGCAGCTGGGGACCGGAGCAGAATGAGTGCCGCCATCCTTCTGTTAAGCATACATGAAAAGAGCAGAAGGTACTTCTCTGACACCATGGCAACACGATACCCAGCTCCAAAATCTTGTCTCCAGCGTATCAAGGAGCTGCAGTGCCTCAGAGAGGCCGTGGGAAGTGCTTTAAAAAGGGGTCAAACACTGTATTCCCCCCGCGCCTTGTTTTTGGAAGGAGGTGAACCATTTTGGGTGGGGAAAAAACACAAAACTCTGGGGGTAAAAAAAAAATTCAGGCCAATGCAGAAGGAAAGTTCAGCCCCCTGGCATGGGGAAAGCTCAGCCCAAACACTTCAGAGCCTGGGGAAGGAGAGGGGCCTACAAAACAGGGGCAAATTAAATGTATCGGGCAACATGACCTTGCAGGCATTGCCACCAGCTGAACCGGTACACCAGTCCAACCCCCCATAGCACACCTCCCATTACCGATTGCGCTTTAGCCCGCAACTGCAGGGCCTTTCGGTACGTCATCGTGGGGGTGCCGACGGCCAGCATGGGCCAGATACTGCAAGTGCCTTCCTGTCCACGTAAGCTGGCTGGACTGCAGGCAACTAATACATTCGACTCATGTTCCCGTCCTGCTCTGGCAACTTCCCAGTTCTTGGTCTAGACTCGGGTCTGTCTAATGCACAAGCTTCAGAAGGTGATGGGGCAGGACGGCACGGCGGGGATCTGGACTTTAATGCCGGTGGAGTGGCAAGCAGGATGTGGCCACAGGAAGGCAAAGCTCCAGCATTCACCCCCACACACAATGCCTTGCAGCAGCAAAGAGGGTTTTTTTCTAAAGCCAGATTAGAGCTGTAGCCTGATAAAGGACCCTGCTGCTCCAGCACAAATGCCCACAGAGGCATCTCCAGCTGAGGATTTCTCCCAAAGCCATAAACTTGCAAACAAATCAATAAAAGGCTCTAATTAAAAACCAAGGTGATTAGCAGCAAAATGGCCCTACTGGAGGCCTCATAATGCAGGGAAGAAATGGTTTTGATGACCAGAGCTGTCTTGCTGCTTTGCTGACTTTGAAAAGCGCCCTCGGGAAGGGCCGTCTGGCACAACAGAGATCAGCAGTTATGCCCTATGGAGGGGGAGGCTCGCACAGTGGACTTCTGTATTTGTTCAATCCTACTGATGTAAAATAAATTTTACTGAAGTCTTTTTTCTAGAATTAGCCCATAAACCCCCACTAACAGAAGCATCATAGACAACGAGGGTTGGAAGAGACCTCACGTCTAGTCCAAGCCCCTGCTCCAACTACATCATCCCAGCCAAGGCTTTGTCTACCTGGGTCTAAAACACCTCCAAGGATGGAGCATCCCCAACCTCTCTGGGTAGCCTGTTCCAGTGTTTTACTACCTTCCTTGGGGGATTGGATAGTAGGAAAACTCTCTCAACTTCCTTTGCTGCAACTGGAGCCCATTGCTCCTTGTTCTGTCATCTGCCCCCACTGAGACCAGTCTGGCTCCATCCTCTTTGCAGCTCCCCTTCAAGGCTGTTATTATTAAGTATCCCAAGGTGTTAACAGACCCCTGTTACAGCGTGGGGCTCACAGCAGTCGTAGTGCAGGCTGGAATCAGCAGTCACAAGTATTTTCACTTCGCTCAAATCGGCTTTTAAGAAGCCCAGAGGCATGGCTCTTTGAGGCTGCAATAAGCAGAAGTGCAGGCTGGAAAAGCTTGTTCTCTGCTCTAACCCTGACCTAGAAAGGCTCTCAGGGGTGACAGGTGAGATGGAGAAGACAAACAGTGGTGGGGAGGGGGTTTCAGTGCCACAAAAATAAAATTGCGTTTTGCAAATCTCCCAGGCATTCACTTCCAGACTCTTAGCTGAACCCGGAGGCAGAGGCTCACGGAAGTGGCTCGTGCATAAGGACATTGCTGTCCTCTAGTGGGAGGAAGGCGTCTGGCCTGCTCAGTGGTATCGCTTGGCTTGGCTGCATCTTGCCCGGCGTAGAGAGCCCCGATTGGAAAACCCAGGCTCGGAGCGAGTGCACGTGCAGCCAGCTGACGGCATTGGGATCTGTGCTATGTACAGCTGCGGCTCATTACACTATTACCTTATTCACGGTAGGATGATATATTTTTGAAAGCGTTCAGTGCAAATGGGGCGAATAACCCACGGGGCTGTCTACGGGATTCCCTCGCTGGCAGCGCGCTGGTGGTGCCAGTCTCAGTTAGCTTTTACTCCCCAGCTCCTCTGAGCTGCCTCTTGCAGCAAGTCTTCCAGTGAAGGGCTTAGGAAAAGCCCGGGCTCTTGCTTCCACAACCAACCCCAAGTTTATGCTGTTTCCCCTTCTGCTGCAGGCAGAGCTCTCTCCCCTAAGTACGGGGCCCCCTGAATTCACCGAGGAAGAGGACTTGCTCCCATCCAACCAGGCAGGGACCTAGGGGAACACCTGCCCCCGGTGCACGGATAGTCCCAGAGCAAAACGGCAATACCACGCTCAGCGTGTGAGGTTATGTCCCATGCAGTCTTATCTGGGGAAGCTGCCCTTCCTGAGCTCTAAGCATCTTTAAACTGATGCTGTATGAGAAAAAGCGAGACGCTGCAGCTGGAGCTCTCTGCCCTCTGCACCCCCACGACGGCGAGTGAAATTCAAGCCCCTGGAAGTGAGAGGCCAGAGTCTTCTTGCTGCTGTACTTCCTTTCTCCTAGAAAGCAGTGGGGGAGCTGGCCCTCCAACAACCGCAAGGGCTCCCAGCAGAGTGGGAATGTGCTTTAAGGCCAGAAACACAAAGCAGAATCCCTGCCCTGCCCTGCACAGATAAGCAAGGCGAGCCCCGGTGAGGTGCTCCCTGAAGGCCTTGGAGCCAGGGTCCAGTTATGGAATAAAAATCCTTTCAAATCAGTCCCTCTGGATTCAAACCAACATGGTGGAGACTGGCATCTGCCTCCAGCTTTTTTTGCATGGCAGCGGTACGACCAGGAGGGTCTGAAGATATATTGAAGCATCATATTATATTAAAAATGACCACACTGGTGGGGAGCAGGGGGCTCCCCAGCAGGTATAATGCCCGTTTAGCCAATTCTGTGCCATGCCCACTACAGCCAGGGCACTCCTATAGTAAGGGGACAAACCAGGCCAGCTTTTATACCGTGGGCCAAGTTGGCCCTTCCTCCAGCACAGAGGTGAGTTCTCCGCGTCTGCTTTTTTTCCCCCCTCCTCTGCAAACTGTGCCTGAGGTTTGGCTCCTGTGTGTAATAATAGTGCACTATCCAAGTGCTGCAGCTGGGAACAGAAACCCACCTGGCTGGGGTTTCAAACATACCTTTGCAGAGCCGGGGGTCCCAGTGAGGTCAGGAGGTAAGCAGCCTCCCAAAGACCAAACTCCGCTGTTCATGACTATACGCCGGCAAAATACCTTGCCCGAGACAACAAAACACACACGGATGCCCGAACCTGTCTTTACGGGACTGGTGCATGGAGCAAACAGAGAACTGGGATGGCAGATGCAGCCCTGCTCCCCTGGCTTGTTGGGAAGAAGCAGGCGAGCTGCCCACCTTGGAAACACAACTCACGAGAGCACAAAGCAGACGCAGGTCACAGCGCTCCTGCCAAACGCTGCTCGTCCCTGGAGGAGCCGGCCTGCGGCTTTCTGAGAAAGGTCAAGACCCAAGGAGCTTTGCAGAGCACTTTGAAGCTGGAGAGGGCTGTTGTTGTAACACAGCAAAGGCACAGCTTCCCTCGAGTTAAAACAAGCGGGTCACCGCCCTCCCCAGGGCTGTCAAACGAGCCGGGGCCTCATGCAAGGCGGCGGTGAAGGGTAGATTTTGTTTCTGCGGACAGGAAGAGCAATAAATAAATCCATGGGAGGCAGCTCTGGAGATGAGTCAGAGGCAGGAATGAAAGACAGGCCTTTTCTGGGGAGGTAATTACTGCCGTTGGAAATGCAGATTCCTAGCATGCCTCGGTTCTACGGGGCTGAATAAATATTCAGATGGGGATGGCTGCGTTATCCTCAAATGATTAGGGTGTAATTCATTCCTGGGCAGGTTTCCTGGCAAACGAACCCCAACAGACCAGCTTGCTTTGTCCTTCTGCAGTGAAGGAGCCCACCTCACAAAGGGGCTATGAAACTATGAAAGGCTGCCGCTGGTCTGCAGAGCTCCCCCGTGTTGGACGGGGAAGGGGCGCGCTGTCAACCCACCCGGGTGTGCCGGAGAAGGCAGGGAATTTGCCTCCAATACCAGCAGCAGCACAGAGCCCTCCCGTTAGGCGGCGATGAAGGCTGCAGCTTTCCTTGCAGAGGCCAGCAATGCTGCTCCCAGCCAGGACAAAACAGTGCTGCACTTTCCACCCAGCTGCCTTGACCCCAGGATTTACCTTTTGTGTCTACCTGCTCATGCTTTGCAATGCGAGTTTCAAGAGATGCAACTACCTGCAGGGTGCCCACGAAGGAAGGGGGAGAGAAGGGAGAGGAGGAGAAGAGGAGGGTCCTTGCTCCGAAGAGCAAACAGTGGATGATTTATTCCTTCAGTCGCTGTCCGGGCCCGGGCGGCTGCTTGTATCATGCCATTAGCTGGGGATTTCTGCTGAAGTGACCCCGCGACAGGTACAGGTTGTCTGTAGGAAGAGCCTCCATCTCTGGCAGTGCCACCCGCCCCTCCATGCTAAGGCTGCTGGGATAGACCTTCCCCCTGCTACATTTCATCTCTCTGCCCCACTGGCAGACAGAGATGGCAAAACAGCAGTCGCATCCCCCCCACTTGACCCCTTCCCCCCTTTTACCATCCAGGAATCAGAGCCTAGAGGAATCCAAACCCCGCCGAGAAACAAAGCGTGTGAAATAACTACACCGGGTCAATGCAGCCATTTCTCAGCAGGACCCAACAGAAGACGAGTCTAGCGAGAGTCATGAACAGCCGTGGGCTGCCTTTATTAATGGCACCACAGTAGCAGGCAGATGGCCAAGTCCAGATCCAGGTCTCTACGTACCGAAGAGTGACACGTGCTTGCAGTCGTACGCAAGAGTTGTGGCAAGCAGGAACCTAACCCCGAATCTTCCTGCCCAGCCCAGAGTGCCACCCATGTGACTGTCCTGCCAACAGACTAGCTACACACGGGACACAGACACTTCGTAATGGAGACAGCCCCAACCCCACCACCCCCAGCCCAAGGATCAGGGCACAAGCCTGTTCACTGCGGGCTGAGACATGCAGAGCAAGGGGAGCCCCTGCCCAAACCCCCTGGAGCAGAACAGAGTTGCACCCAGCAAGGCTGCCCGAGAGCTCGGTCTCCATCATGAATGCAATGACATCCTCCTCCCCCAGCTTACCTACTCCCTGCTACTCTGGTCCTCTCCCTTGTCTAAACTACCGACCCACAAAACCACATTAGCTGCACCGGGCAGTGACTAGGAAGTCCTCAGGTCCTAGGGGGTCACGTTCAGCACAGCCACACCCCCACCAGGGTGACAGCTCTGGGTGTTTCCAAAGAGCCTGAAACAAGAAAAGGGCAGAGAAAGTCTCCTTTCAAGTGGCAGGCCAGATTGTAAACAGACATAAAGTATATTTAACCTCAGCTATGGCTGTTCCTGGAGCCCGGGGATCTTTGCACCGCTTCGTTCATGATCGTCTCTAGGGGCTCTGCCTAACTGCATCGGCCTGAGGTTTAATGGCCTGAGGAATTCCTCACCAGGAATCTCTCTTCAGCGCTTGCTGAGCTCTGACCGCTGTGACGCGGTGCCATACGAACGGCCTTTCTGATTCTGGAGTGCGGTTTAGTGGGCCAGCATGAAGCCTTAAATCAAGGCATATATATATATATATATATATATATATATATCTGTGGCCAATATGTATATACACATGCACCCATATACAGGTCACATTTATAGTCATTTCCAGTCGCTCTCAAAGAGCAGCTGCTTTATGCCAGGCTGCTCCAAGGACCTGGTTGCCAGAGAAGACAGAAAGCAAAGGAGCACAGAGAGCAAATGCTTTTGGTACACGGACGGGGGAGGCATATGGATATGGCAAAGGACTCTATGCAAGGGAAAGCCACGTGGCCACAGTGCCTGGGCTGCATCTGCTCAAGAGATAAATGACTTCAGGACTGCCTCATCATCTCTTATAGCCCTTGTTCATCAAGATCCCTGTGCGCTGTGGGACTGTTTCAGAATCAGCCATCTGCCCTTGCTCCTTCGTTGCTTTGTTCAGCACAGATCTAATAGCATTATGCCATCTCCCCCCAGCACGCCATTTGTTAAGTGTTAGATTGGAGGGGGTTTCTGGAGTGACGCAGATCGATAAACGAGCTCCGACGGCCAGCACATCTCAACGAAGGCAAGCAAAGTCAGCCAAGCAGCAAAGGCCGACTGGAGTCGCCCATACAACATCGACTTACCTCCACCTGTTGATGTCCGGGTCAAATGCTTCTACGGTGGTCACATGCACAATGCCATCGAAGCCCCCGACAGCCAGTAAGTACCCGTTGGCGACAGCAGCTTTCACCTAAATACAAATCCCTAGGACTCAGCACCGAGGGTAAAGACATGGGTGAGGGGAGGCCTACAACCACACGGGTCTCGGGGATGGAAGAGCTATAAGAAACCTGTACATTGAATGGAAACAAATGGGAAGGGAGGGGAAGAAAACCTGAGAAGTCGGCTGTTCCCAGCCTTGCAGACACTGGTTTCCTATGTTAGCATGTACAGGGCTGTGCACAGGAACGGCAGATGTCTTGTGCTCTGATACTCCAACATCGCCACCGGGAAAGAGGAGGAAATCACCACAAACTGGGATGGACAGCTTAAAAGGAGTAAAAGAGACCAACCCACCCTGCTGAGTGGTGCCCCTTGTATAGGGAGACTGTTCTTCCCACCCCAAGCCTCACTTTTCAGACCTTCCCCCTCCCTTTTGGGATCTAAACCCTGTACTGAGCTTAGCAAGCATGGCAAGGTGACACTTTCAAACACAATTAACATGCAACTACCAGGGAGAGGCACGACTAACAATGAGCTTGCTTCCAGAAATACAGAACCGCTCATCTCTGCAACAATACGTTCAGCAAGGTTTTACTGTGCACGTCTTCAGTGAGGGAAGAGAAAGTGCACAGGAAGAAGTGGTCCTCTGAGAAAAGCCCTCTTTGATGAGCTAATAAATCCAAAAGAAACCAAGAAAGAAGCTGAAGTCTTTCTGGCTTCCTGTGTGGGGGTGCTTCTGGCCAGCTCCCTTCTCCGCATCTATCACGGTGGTACCCTGGGCCCAGGGCTGAAGGGCAAACAGGGAGTGAGACCCATCCCTACAGGATCCTTGGGTAGAAGCTGGCAGAAGAAGGCAAAAGATCAGCCTTCGTTACCTTATTCCTCTTCGACTGCATGGGCATCGCAGGGGACCATTTGTTCGAGACTGGATCAAACCGCTCAACGCTGCAGAGCTCCGTGAGGTCGTCCCGGCCCCCCACCGCATAGATCTTCCCTCCGAAGGTCGCGCAGCCAAGGTCTTCCCTGCACGTCCCCAGAGGAGGGCAAGGGGACCACGTGTCCTCGATGGGATCATATCGTTCCACTGAAGGAGACACCGCAGCAGAGAGGCGCAGGACTAAGAGCCACAGAATCCGGAGACCTCCTCCCTTCTCGGACCACAGGCAAGCCCCATCTGTGCCTCAGTTTCCCCACACTGACTACACTTGCCTTCCTCCCAGGGACACAAAGCACGGCCTTGACACCGGAGTGCCAGGTGCTTTGAAGACTGAAAGCGCCACGCAAATGCTAAGCACTGTTATTATGGTGTTAGAAGCAAAGGAGATACAGAACCCATTTCCAGGACTAGCGTGCTAGGAGGTTGCTTGTCGTTGAGTCAGGCGATCGGACTCAAGCAAGGGAAAAATGTAAAGGGAGGGAAGCAAAGCCTGGAGGGGGTCATGGGGTTGCAGACCATACAGCTCCATCCTACAGTGGTCGTCAAAGGGAGCAGCAAGCTGAATTAGTAAGTCAGGGCTTTGCTGCCTCAGCTGGCTCCCTCACCCCTGCAGGGTGCCAGGCTCTCAGTAATATGGGAGGCAGAGCACTTGTGGGGGCCAAGAGTAAGGATAACAGAAGGACTAGCTGGCCCTAGCACACAAAAGCCCCAGACACTTGTCTTAGAGGGTCGAAAGGGATTGCTGACACATTCCCATCAGGAAAAGGTTTCTGGTCACATGCACACAACTCTCCCATTACCTGAATAGAGCGGAGACTGCCCATCTGAGCCACCCACAGCATAGAGGTAGCCATCGAGCACTGCCACACCTAAGCCCATCCGGCGGCTGGCCATGGGGGCCACCTTGCACCACCTGTCCTCGCTCGGATCGTACCTGAAGGCAGGAGGAGTTCGTCATGAATTCAAAGACCTGCCCCAGAAGCAGCAGCCTTGGGTGCTCCCGAGAGCTCACGGGGGGTCATCTCCAAACCAGGTTTCTGGTCCCTGGCCCGTCTCCCTCTAGAGAAGGCTCCCAAGAACCATTATGAAATGCACCTTCCCGCTCGTCATCCTCACAAGGCCCGTCCTGTTTTCCCTCCTCCGCCCTTTGACTGCTAGATCTGTGACCGCTTACAAACAGGAGCATCAGGTGAATTTAGCACTGGCAAGAGCCCTGGTGACTGAAGGTCTCAACTGACAGACCAGGCTGAGATCACAGAGTCAGTGCAAATCTTCTCACCCAGCTCCCTCCAAGGCAGCGCGCACAGCCGAGGGAGAGGAAGGTATTCATTCACTCATGATTTCTCTGAAGAGATTTAGTCAAGCTGGGACCTCTCATTTTAATGGGGCTGAGTAGAGCAGGCCACCGTATGAATTAGCAAGCCATATCTGAGGTTTGCAGAGGCTGGGGGCCTCCCTGCAGAGGCTGGGTCCCTCCCTCTCCCTAGAAAACCAAAATGATCTGGAAGGGACAACCATAGAGGCGAGTCACTCGCGACAACCTCATCGGCAGGAATTCTTGAAGGACGCCGTCCTTGGCAGCTGTGTCCATCCACGTGCGTGGGACTGCACGTACCTTTCCACCGTGCTAAGGCAAAGCAATCCATCGTGACCGCCTACACAGTAGAGGTAACCGCCCAGCTCTGCCAATCCCACATCTCGCTTGCTTTCCCGCAGCGGGGCCACATCACAGCTCCATTCATTCACTTTGGGGTCATACCTGTGGGAAGGAAACAATAAATAAATAGCGTCCTTTTTAAAAAACTAGGTGAGATAATGTTGACAGCTGGTAAGATGGCAAACTCCTTGTATGCCAGTCTAAGAAACAAAAGGGTTAAGGGAGACGTTAGCTGGAACGGATGTGAGCAAGGAGCATCAGGTTGAGTTTCACTTTCGACGGGAAGATCTGCTGCCCCAGTTGCCTGGAGCATTGTACAGGTGCCGGCACTGAACAGGAATTACAAAAGAAGGGCTGAAGTGCTGGCTGGAGCCTAAAGAGACTTGTGGCCTGCCATCCACTTCTTCTTGTGACTGCCTCTCTCCACCTGTAAAATGGGAACATCACCCTGAGGCTCCTGGGAATGAGAAGACAGTGAAAACTTGGGCAGGATTCGATCCTACCAGAGCAGCTCCATAGCAAAAAATAAAAACAGATGGTCAGGCTTGAAATAGCCCAGACAGCAGGTATCACACACATCTTGGAAATGCATACGACACAGACAGGGCTGCTTTTATTCTTCAATTATGGAGCCCCACCCCCTAGGATCCAAACCCTTTCCCAGCTGGCGTGGTCTTCTCATTCCCAACAGATGGGAAACCTTTAAAGAAGAGACGAGAGACAGTTTTGAGGAATTGTTCACAACTATGAAAAAGGTGTGCTGTCGTTGAGGGGAGGGAATGCCGAATCGAGCCTAGCTATACCTATTTGCTACTTGGTAGATTCATTTGCACAATATACCAACCATCCTGCTCCTTGCTCATCCAGACTGGCCGTACCAGAGCTCCGGGAGTAGAACCAAGGTTGCTTTCTTTGAGCACCGTCTCCTCCTAAGGATTCAGGGGGAGTTTCAGGAGTCCAACTCTACCTCTTAATGGTCCCCGTTAATAAGAAGCGAAGGGACGGCAGGGTACGAGTGGGCTATCCACCTGCTAACACACGTTCACTTGGAGGAACTCAAGCAAGTGCTTCAGGGTCCCAAAGAGGTCTCATAAAGTAGCTAACACATTTCTGTCTCAGCAAAAGCAGCTTTCCCAAGAGGCTACAGCCAAACTCCACCTAGTGAAAGATGCTCTCTTCCCTCAGGCCTCAATCCTGCCTGCCCTAATCCTAAGAATCATCTTCCACCTCCTTTATAGACTTTTAGTTGACTTCTTCAGGTTATTTCAGCCTCCAGACCAGCTTAATTTGCATCCCTTTCACAGATAAAGTTCACAATTGTCCCTTCATTATCATAGGCCCAAGAGTTTCCATTAAGGCTCAGAGCTCTATGCTTTTGCAGACTGAAAAGTAAGATTATGTGGTTAAAAAAAAAAAGAGTGTGCTTCATATCCTATCTGAAGAGCAATCTAATTCCTGGAGCCCACCAATGTGTTTATCATACTTAGGAGCCATTTTACCCTTCAGCGATCGTTTCTGCTCCTGCTCAGATTCCCGATGGAGACGGTTTACACTCCGCTCAACCTGTGAGCAACGGGAGCGAGAGATCATTGGGCATCACCTTTCAGCTTGGAGAGACGGTGCATTTCAAGCCTCAGAAACTTTCTGAACTTCAAGCTCTGGTTTTAACCCACTTGATAAGGATGATGACTTAACACACAGGATAGAGACTATAGAGGTGGGCCAAGAAGGAGCAAAGGTCATGTTTAAACAGTTACCCAACGGGCAGTGCTTCTGAGTCCAAAGTCTCATTTGGAGATTGCTGCATAGATCCAAAACCCAAACAGAGAGGAAGGTGGTAAAGTGTTCATATGTCTATTTATTTTCTGCTACCCCAAAAGAACCATAGGTTTGTCTACACTGCACCCAGTTGTGACTACAAACATTACCTGGGCTACTTTTAATCTGTCTAGCACAGGCAACAATCGCAATGTAGTCATGGTGGCTCAGACCACCTAGGCCCACACCCAGGTCTGATCCAGGAATGCGTGATCCAAAATCCCAAGTAAAGTCTGCAGTTTCCAGCAGTGCCTGCAAACAAGAACCACCCAGAGAGATGGTGGAGCCTCCATCCTTGGAGGTTTTAAGGCCCAGCTTGACAAAGCCCTGACTGAGATGATATAGTTGGGCCTGGTCCTGCTTTGAGCAGGGGGTTGGACCAGATGTGACCTCCCGAGGTCCTTTCCAACCCTCATTTTCTACGATTCAATGAATGCCAGGCCCCAGCTAGCATGCCTACGTAGGGACTTTCCTCTGCACATGCAAAGAACATGTCAATCCCTCGCCTTCTTGCCTGCCTTCTAGCCCTGCGCTCCTACTTGACATAGGATTACCTCTCCACGCTGCTGAGACACGTCGTGCCATCAAAGCCCCCGACGGCATAGATGCAGTTTTTCAGAGAAGCCACTCCTGCCCCACGGTGCGGTCGAGAGACAGAGCCCAGCACTTTCCATTCATGCTGGAGGGGGTTATAACGTTCCACCCCGCTGACGGCGTCCCTGTGGTGCCAGCCTCCCACTGAAAAGATGAAACATAGCACAAGCGCAGAAGGATAAGCGGGACGAAATGCAATCAGGGACGGCTGAGAAGAGAGCAGCTCAGAGCCCTTTGCCACCACTGAGTAACTCTCAGAGCTCCCCTGCCGAGGCAGGAAACGGTTACTGTACCAGTTCTGCATAGGCTGGAAACAGGCCCAGGGAAATGAAGTAACTTGCTTCAGGAGATGCAGAATGACAGGAGAAAACCTGGGACCAGAACTTGGGGCTCCCTATTCCCCACATCTATCCCTTGGGCTTCAGTATGGGGAACTTAATTGGCTGAGAAATATAAAGTGTGTGTATGTGCATATCTATACACATCCCCCCAACACTTAAACCAGCTCTCTGTTGCTATCTTATGCCCCGCATCTACCCATCACCATTATACCGAGTCACTGCACGCACCATTTTGAGAACTCCAGGCATCCGAGAGGCTTGCAGACTCCGGACGGTGCTTAATGACCAGTTATTGCGGGGGCAGTTGTATCATCGTGCTTGAAAATAAACCAGCTTAGAAAAAAACCCAGAAAACAAAACTCTGCAACACAAATTCTCCTACCCAAATTAAATCAGTTCGTGAGAAAGAGCAGAGAGAAAACAATACTGCTTTGATCTAGGGATTTGGAGAAGCATTTTGGTTTTGTTGGTTGTACCAGCTGGGCGCCCATAAACATGCAACCAGGGATATTTTAAAGACAGGTAGGAAGCATTACTGGTTTATTGAATTTTTACATTTCCAGGGTTTTCCAGCAGGCTTCAGCAGTTATTTATCAACACGCCCATAAACAGCATCATTCCTTGGGTGCTATTACATAAATATTGTGGTGGTTGTTTGATCAGATTACTACCATCATAAGGCAATTTAAAATAAATGACTTGACACTCAGGTACTGAGAACACCATGCTGAGTTTAATTGGAACCAACTGCAATTGGGATGCTGCAGTCGTGGGTTTTATTATTAGTTCACAAATGCTTAACTGGGAGAACTAATATTTTTTGTGGAAATGGTTTCAAACGCTAGTATTCATTTGCTCACTAAGTAGTTTAGCTGGGCTGGAACTCTTGCAAGGTGTAGTTTTTCAGAGCATAGCCCAAGCTTTTTCTGAAATAAGAAAAGATTTTCTGATTAATTCATTTCTAGGGGAAAGATGGTAACCGATGCTGTTCACGCTCATTGACTGCTTGGGATCTACAGAGTGCAACTTCCGCAACAGCTGAAGGGGTTTCAAAGTTTACACCTGGAAAAGATGCTCACCTCGCTCCAAAGTGAGTCCTGTTAGAACTAGCAGATCCCCGCTTTACATGGGGACGCATTTGCTGCAGACAGGTTTCCCCTTCTCAGAAAATGGGTAGGGTATGTTACATCAATGCATCTTCCATACACCGATGTGCCATTACCCATCTCTCTGCTCTAGAACCTGGGATCCTGACAGATCGTGGACCAAAGGATTAGGGCGTGGAACGAGATTCTCCCTACAATCCTGTCCCTTCAGACCATTCAGTCAGATCTACCGCAAAGCTTCCTCCCCGAGTTGAGATCTGGGTCTCGACCCACTTGCTCTGTCACTATTATTTGGATTAGCCAAAAAAACCAAACAAACCCCAACGTGTGCAACAACTTAACAGTTTGGACAGAAGAGAGAGACTGCCATCAGCTCCCCCGTAGTAGTTCTTGGATCAGCAAACTCCCCGAAAGCAACAGCTCATGGAGAGGCACCTGCTCTGGTCTTGAAAAAACTGGCATGCTCAGCGCCGAGCTATGGTAGCACAGAGCTCAGCAAGGGCTGCAAGCAACCCACCCTTTCCCCCCACCACCAAGAGAAATTGAGACAATCCTGGGGTGCTGAGCTTGCCCCCAACTCTGCTCTCAGCCAGGGGTTGCCAGTATCTGAGCTAGCTCTTTTAAAATTAGCCTGGGTATGTCAGCATCAGCTACAGTCACAAGGGTGACAGCAGTGCAAACATACCCTAAATCCACAAACTCCCTGCCAACCAATGGCCTGGCAACCCTGCCTTTCAGATAAGATAGATAAGAAGCCTGAAATCTTCTAGATGCACGTATTCATTGCTTACAGAGGTTAGACACAGCACTGAATTACCTGAACTTTGGATTCAGGCATAATCTCCCATGCCACGGGTGGGTGGAACCAGAAGTCATCACGGGAGTTAGATCGTGGTTAGAGAACAGTGCACACAACATACACCGATAATTGTTTAACCCCTACTGCCAAACGCTAGAGGCAGATTAATCCTCCACAAGTCCTCTGCACTGTATTTGTAGCATATTAGGTAGACAACAGAAACCTTGTTTTCTCATATTGCCCCAAGACCTTAGACCATTTCATCTTTATGAATAAGGATATTCATAAAGATGCTGGGAGCTGGATCAGGCCATTAGCAGAAAGATGCTCCAGTGCTGGGAGCTGGACCTAGCCATTAGCATGCCGTCTCCCATCCTCAGAAAGGCTGAGCTCTGTTGCCTTACACTGATGCTTCATCCTTGATGTTTGATTCTCTTATCTAGTCAGCGCCACTTCTATATTGGTATTTTTAATGCTTTTCCCAACCTCTGTGACAAACCCAACATGCATCAGGCAAAACCAATGGAGGAGGAGAAAGGACAAACTTACCAGCAAAAACAAGCTCAAGCTGCTTGCTTGTCTCAGAAGCTCTGGACTCGGCCTCCTGGATAACCCTTTTTGCCTGCAAGTCAAGCTGTTCCCTAAAGCAAAGCAAATTCCCCAGTTACACCAATATCTCAGAAGAGCTCGGCTGGCCAAGCAGGCACTGACACATTCCCAGGGAAACATTAGTTACTGCTGGGAAAGGACACACACGATACGAGGGATAAAACAGTAGTGGAGACCTTACAAACAGCTGCTGCAGGCTCTGTGCTAATGAAGATTTAAGCTCCAACAACTAATCCCAATGATCAGTGAGGAGGCTTGTACATCCTTTGCAATATCCAGGGTCTGAATGGGAGCACTGTGTGTCTCATGACTACAGATCCTGGTTTATTTTTTCCTTTGCTGTCTAAGTTAGCAAGTAGCAGCAAACTGAATACAGCTCGGAGGTCAGGCACTTTCCCAAAGACCCATCAAACAAGCACCTACCTGTAAAGTTGGGCAGCAAAACCTGTGCAGTTGTTTCTGATTGCTGACTACGGCAGAGCTGGAGGTTCACAGGTAGCTCTAAAGCTGGTTTTTCAGATTGTACTGCAAAATTAAGAGCTTGGAGTTCTTTAATACCACCAAGCTAACAAACTACCCCTGGAGTTAAGCAAGAATGGAATCAATAACGTTTAATTTATTGAAAATTAAGAAGGGTCTATTAGAAACTCTTCTTTCTCCTCTAAAACCTACAGAATATCACCATAGGGTTTCTGAAACATCTAAACCCGGGATGGCCAGCTTGAGACACGAGTGCCACAAATAGCATAGGCAGCCTCTGTGCGGCATGAGGGAGACTGGGAAGGGGACGGGTGATGCAGTGACAGATAGGGCAGGGAGCAGAAAGCAGAGCAGGAGATGAGGTAGGTGAAGGGGATCAGAAGGATAGTAGAGGGGTAGGGAGGTACAGGGCTAATTTGTGGCACGAGTGTGAAAACCGATGATTAAACCACCTCTCTAAAGCAGGGGGGATCATTCGCTATCAAAATGCTATACATAAAGACAGTTCACAAGTACTCCTGTTCTCTGCTCAGTCTTGTGGGGCTTTAACCTAAGAGTTTGCTAGAACATTAACCAAATTGCTCTCCACTTCCAAAAAAAGACAGTGATGTTTTTGAACCATTTTTCTACCCTTTTCTTTTTCTTTTTTTTTTTTTAATTTAGGGAAAGCATCTTCCTTAACCCCCAAAACGAGGTGTGCACAAAGTGAGAGCGTTGTGTATACTATATAAACAGCATTACTATATTCCCGTCTTCACAATCCTTCAGCCTTGCTCTTAACTTCATTTTTCGCCCAATTTTCCCACTGATTTTCCTCCCCTTCACTGCTTTATGGAAATAGGAACGCAACAACATTCAAAATCAAGCTAATCTTTCAAATATAGCAAGTCTGAATGGCATGAAATACACTTAAAGTGAGGCGATTCAACCCTGTTAACGTATCAAAACCTGAAAACATATATTGAGTTGTGGTGAGGTCAGAAGAGAGACAGATTACCGAAGAGTGCTAGGGGGACTTTAAATTCATGCAGCGATGTTAAATTAGTAACCTGCAAATTATGTAATTCTCTGCTATGCCGTCTATGGAACTCACCCTTTGTCTTCATATATACCCATCCCCATGCACTGAAGGAGCTCGCAGGGCCGTGAAGACTGGGTTGATCACTTCTCTCTAGTCCCGATGGGAGCAGGAGACTTATATGTCAACCCACACACCAAAAATAGGAAGGTGCCGCATGCGTTGGGAAGGAAGGTCACATAGCGTACGAATTCCTTGCAATCCTTTGTTCCCCTCTGCAGCAAGACTCGATAGCCTCCTGAACCCAAGCAACTACTCACCATGACTTTGGGTACCTGATATCTGTCAAGCAGCAGCTTTACCCATTGCTGCCCCCTTCTCCTTTATCACTAATTTAGTTCTTAAACGGTGCTCTGCAAAATAGTTCCTCTCACCTTTAGGTCAGTTGGGTACAAAGAACAGCCATGAAAATCCACGTGCCGTGCATCCCAGAGTGAAACTGGATCAGAACCCAAACCGGTCAAGACCAAAGCTGAGCCAAGTGTGGCCTCCACCTGGGTCACTTGGTGCCAGAGGCTCGAGACCCCCCCAAAACAGAATGGATGCCAGCAGAAGAAAAGAGCTTTGTGTGTCAGCTTGCATGTCCCGTGTACCAATATGGAGCACTTCCCATGTCCTAAACTGAGATAAAACACAATTGCAAATCAGCCTGAGGAATGAGTGTTTCTGAAATGCTAGCACAGCAGTCAGTCATTTCCCTCCCTAAAGGCAGGACTGTGTCTGATCCTGCAGCCCTGCTGGATTTGACTCACTTCAACACAACATACCAACTCTAGTAGCATTTCTCCTCCATTTCACTCACCCAAGCACCGATGGACAGCCAAAGCCACATTCTAGTTTTTGCACAACTGAAGAAGGTTCTGGATCCGGATTCCAATCCATCTGCACCATGATGTGTGGGTCACGTGCATAGCAGTGCCTGGATAGCCACCAAGTCTTCAAATGCAGCAGGAAAAGATGCTCTCCACCCCATTGCACTGCTGCTGTAGGTAGCAAAGCCAGGCATTAACGAGCAACGTTTCTATAATACATCACAAAACAGACTTACCCTCTTTCCACCAAACCTATAGGAGAATCATTCTATGGACTTCAACAGGAGCAGGGGCAAGATCCTGGCATTACAACAAGTGACTTAGAAACAGGAGATGAGCTGGGTCATCTAGTTCATCTCCCACCCTTATTGTGTTCTCACAGTGCCTAGGAGCCCCAGCCCTGGTGAAGGAACCTGTTGTAGTAGATGCTGTGTAAACACACAATAAAGAGGGTCCTAAAGGAGCTCACAATCGAAGATGGGGACAACAGGGAGAGAAACAGAAATGGGAGGATACAAAAAAAAAGAATAACAGGCACATCTTCCTCCTCACCAACTCCTGCCACTGTGCTGCTCAGATAAAATCTACTATTAAATCTCATTCGCAAATGCCGTCCATGCTATCAGTGTCTCTGTTTTGCCTTCTGGCTGCTTTTAACCCCGAACAAGTGGTCTTTTGTTTGTTTCCCTTTTTCCCTTTCTGATTGCTCTTATGAAAATGGAGTCGACGTGGTTAGACCACAGGCGCGGAAGCCAGGCTCCTGACTTCTATTCCCGGCTCTGTTGCCGTCATTTATAATAGATAAGCAAATCTCTTTCCATTCTGAGCCTTAGTTTCCTACCAGCTGTAAACTGGGAAACAGTATGTATTTTGAAGGCTTAAGCAATGCTCGTAGCGTGACTGGAGACCCTCCAATGGAAGGCATATCAAAAGTAGGGCATTAAGTCTTCATCAAAAGCAAAGGAAGAGCATCCCTGTTGACTAAAGCAGCAACGAGTTGAAATAAGACTTGAAAGGGAAACCACCACGGATTTCAGTACCCAGTGGCAAAAGTTATAGGTACCACCAGCATGAGTCATTGTGCTAGGAGCTAAGTCAATCCAGTACTGGAGTTGGGCTGTGCTTAATAGAATAGCAACATGGCATTAAATACAGCCATAAACCTTTTAAAGAGCTTTACGTAACACTACTCATTACAGAACAAAGGGTGTTCGTTAAGAGGTCAGTGGCGAGTCTGAGGTTACAAGTACGTTCTGGTAAAGAAGCCCTCACCTTATTTGCCGTCTCGTGGCTGGCTACACATGACAGCGGCGTCGCATTTGGGTTCCAGTAGCTGTACACCAGACTTCAAGTCCTCACTACTGCTTGGGATTTGAGGCGACAGCGCAGGAGTTGCTTGGCGAGAGCAACTCCTTTCAGGTGCAGGAAATTGTTCAGAGGCCTCTCATGTGCGGCTGCACTGCATCTGATACCCCTGCACTTTAAGGGGCGCTGGGAATGCCCCCCTGCAGTCAAAGCAAACACAGTGGTTTCTGCCCCCCGATATTCCCCAGCAGTCCCCATCACTGGCAATTCCTCCAAGGGCAGCTCAGCCTTTCCACCCCAATCTTTGTATCATGTACTATTTTCCCTGGAAGAGAATTAGACCCATGGCCTGGATGTGGGTGAGGGCCCACATATGGGTACGTCCAGGATTAAAACATGCTCAGTTTTAAAGCAAACCTTTCCAGTTGTGCATACGCACCCTGCGGTGGAACAGCCGACCGGAGCTCTTTTTCTCCTGATCCATAATAAAGATTTCACAGGCCAAGTGCACCTTCTGCAAACCCCACGGCTGGACAAGCACGGGCCTCGGCAGGGGCAGAATTGGCTCTGCTGCAGGAACTGAATAAGCAACTCTGGAGGATGCATGAGCCCAGCAAGAGCCTGATCTCTCACCTGAAACATTATGGGCTCTGCAGGGACTCCAGGCACAAGCTTCCTCCCTCATCTCTGCCCTGGAAATCTCAAAGGGAGCAGGTAGCAGCAGCAAAGAAGTATCCACCTCTCAGGGGCTGTGTAAGGATTAATGACTTAGTGTGGGCAGAGCTTTGAAGCTCAGGAAATGCCAATGCCATGGGGCATTAGCACATCCCTTGTTTCCTTCTGCCCCCCCAATTTAATTTCAGACTTTCCCTATGCCTGAAGAAGGGCATATGTGCCCAAAAGCTTGCAACGAACAACTTTTCCAACTTTTTAGTTGGTCTAATAAAAGATATGACATCTACCCAAATAACCTTGTAGCCATGTTGGTCTAAGGACATAGGCAGACAGCCAAAGTTTAATTTCTTGCATTTTGATAAATCTGTAAAACTTTCCCCAGATTTAAATCATCTCCTCTCCATCCCTCATTTTTCTCTTTTGCAAACTTGGCCAGACCTCTGCTCTCATACATAATTCATAAACAGACAGAAATAATTAGCGAGCAATTTAAATAAAAGAGAAAAACAGAAGGAAGTCCTTAATTGTAGTGCCATGGGGAAGATCAATCAAGAGATCAGCACGGCTGGTTACAATAAAAAGAACATTTTTCACAACTTGTAGGTATTTTAAGGATGTTAATGCTTGGCATGTCAGCACAGCAACACCTCCTTTCGCCTCCAGTTGTCCCAGCCTTAAATAACAAGGGGACGGCTGTCAAGGCCAGAGCAGCCTGTGCGGCTGTTGGAAAGTGCAAATTGCAGAGGCTTCTGAGCAATTCAAATATAAATATATGTGCATGGGGCACCTGTGGGAAAGGATCTCTTCCACATTCCCGGAGGCCCAGGCATTCCACCCCTCGGGCCAAATCAGGAGGGCGGCTGTTGAGCTAATGGAGAAACTCAGCTAGCCAGAGGGAGAGCCAGGGGTTGATTAACCCTCCTGTGCCCTAAGCCTCTGGCAACTTTTCCTCCACGCTCCGACCATTAAGTGAACTTCTTGCAAGCTTTCATGCAGGATTTCTCCAACAGGCCAAAGCCCATCCAAGGATACACTGGAAAGGGTGGGATCAGAGCACTATCCCTTGAGCCCATGACATGCACACTAAGTCAGACCAAAGCCAACATGGAGAGAACAAGCAAGGTCACCCACATACCAAATTTCTCATCCAGCCTGTCAGTAAGCAGGGAACTGGCAGGAAGGGAAATGCTGCAGAGCAGCACCCGTGTGGGTTTTTCTCAGTCGCATCCCCACTTCACCCCCATCGCGGAGGTTGTTTGTAACCACAGTGATCAAAACAGTCCATGAGCAGAAGGAAAGAAATTCACCTCGTCTAAAGACTTGGAATCCAAATGGCATTTACTCCAAGGAGATGTGGCCCAGGGGTCACTCAGGAGGTCTGAGCATCTGGTGGACCGTCTGCTGCAGCCACGCTTCAGTTTCTTGAGACAGAAACACCTCTTCAATGGACTGAGCTCAGGTCCAAGCTCTGGGAACCATCAATAGCTGATCCCAGCCCTGACATCAGTCACAAAGGAGATGGGAAATGCTGGCAGGGGAGCTGCAGCCATGTGCAAGCGGCAGAGAGCTGACTTCTGCAGTAGGTGCCTGCTCCACGCAACCCACTGGGACAGCCCTTTACAGATGGCCTTGTTAGGCAAAGTGGAAGCCTGCCTCCATGCCAGGCAAGGCAAGGCACAGGCAACAGTCTCCCATACGGTCTAGTATGTTGTTTCCATCGCACTCATTGCTCGTGTCCTTGTCAGCTCACGGGGGATTTCAGCACCTCGTCACGGGCACTGACAAACACCCTGATAATAAACAGAGCAGAGGCCAGAGTCCCGGGATTGTGAGCAATGCTACAATAGCAAAACGGTACTTCCTACAAACAGGCATTTAGAACAGAAAGGACAGCTGAGTTTGGAGGGATCTTGCTTAATTAAATTAACAATGAAATTAAAAAAAAACAACAATGAATTCTACCATTCAGTTTCCCTATGGCACAGATCTCGACTGATCCAGCTGCTCTGCACCTACCCCCCCACCCCCCGTGCCACTTCCCTGGGGCCTTTCACTGCCCTTGTGCTGAGACCCTGGAAATCCTTTCCAGCTTTTAGCTGCCTTGCAAGTTCCATGCAAACCAGCCGGCATGGATGGCTTCCTTTCACTGCTTCAGAAATGCTGCCAAAATCAGCGCTCACCCCTGCTGTAACTTCCATCCTGGCCTTGAGCGTCTTTGGTGCTTCCTGCAGGGACTCTTCCAATTCCCCGTTGCTCTGCATCCCTGTCAGCTCCAGCAAGGCCCACGTGCCATGCCAAGATCAATAAGACAAAGGCTCTGCAACTCCCATCCCTTCAACGCTGGCAAGGTTGCACTCTCTCGCTGTCACTGAAATGCAGTCTTTTCTGGAGTGAAACACGGCAGCTCTGCAGCAAGGCACAGCCAAGTGAAACCTCACTGTGAGGACAAAACAGGCAAAATTGCAGGAGTGGGGGAGAATTCAGGCCAGCAGAAATAATAGGCCCATCCAGCATTAACCAGTTAACCTTCTCTGAGAGATGTCAGATCTCAATGGGCCCCAGCTTACTAAAAAATGATGTTTCATCCTATCGAATAAATCGCTAGTCCATGGGGTCAACCAAGCCCAGGTCTCTTGCCTCTCTGCACCAGCAGCCTCCATGAGGTGCTTTGAGTTTGACCAGGAAGGACACAGTAGAAATGTTTGATGTAGCAACACCCTGTGCTTCTTCCCCCCGGGTGTTTCATTTCCCCTGGGTGCTTTACATCTCCCTCGACAGAGATGCCAGGTGCACTAGTTCAAGAAAGGCCCTTCTATTATTATCTCCGCATGCTCTGGTCACTGGGAAACACGCGGTTCCACAGACCACGGACAGGCAGACAGCTGTGCAGGCTCTGGTGATGTAGGCCCATGTTTTTATCTCCAGCCAGGTGTTATTCTAGCCTCGCCCGTCTCAGGACTCTCACCTTTGTTGTCCCCGTGGCTCGCCTTTCTGCTCTGCTTTAGGACCTGCTGCCCTCTGGCGGCATACCTAAAAAACACAACAGAAATACACAAAAGAAGGGTGAAGTTTGGCCTAAATCGGTTCATGGCGCTACATGGGGGTGAGGGTATTCTGAGCCAACAGCACCTACAGCTAGCACCCGAAAAGAGTAATACGTACCCTGCTGCTGCGGTGCCCACGAAGGCAATTCTCTTACACTGCAGCTGCTGGACATTATTATTATTATTATTCTATGCCCAATTTGGACAGTCCGCTCAGCTTCACCAAAAAAATAAAAACCAAACCAAAGCTCCACGAGCCGCTCAGCCAGTACTTTATGGTTGTGTAAAGCCTCACAGATTCTCTCTCCATCGAGCACTACCAGCAGCGAGAAAACGTAGGGAATTTCACAGCAAACACACCAAGTGGCCTAGAATACCTGGGCATGACAGAACCTAACAAAGTAGGGTTTGATGTTGTGGAAAGGGTTCAGATTCAGTTTTCTAGATGGTCTGAAGCCTGGAAAAAGCAACATGCTGGGGAAAAAGAAAAAATAAATAAGAAAGGTAGTAGTGGTAGTTTGAGGTAGAACGTCCTTATCGATCACTGCAGCAAAACAATCATGGGCAAATGACTTCCTGTAAATACAGAAACCCAGGGCACTTCAGCACAGGTCTGCCTTTGGAGTGCAAACCAGGTTTGATACAGATCTCCCTTTGGGTCTCGGAAATTAATAAAGGGAATGGCTAGAATTCCAATTACTTGCGCTTCGTGCAATTGCAACGTGATCATTGTCCCGGATTGTATTTCCTTTCCTGAGCCAAGCAAAGTGGAAGCTATACAGTATCTGGTTCTGAGGAGGTAACCTTATCTAGACAGACCTGCATACATGCATTGCCTTGCCAGTTTCAGACGTGGAGGTACTTGCTATAAAGTTAAAAATATATATATGTGATCTCAGAAGGCTTTAGTGATCCTGACTGCTCACAGAATTCATTGGTACCATGCAGGTAAGGGCCTTCTATCAAGTCAGCCAGAGTATACAGACTAGGATTAAAATTTAATTTATTGTAAATGCTATCTCATTTGATCAAGACTGCTCTCTGACTCCATTTCTAGTGCATTTGGGAATAGGAAGGTTGCAAACATTAAGTGTACAGTTAAGCAAAGACTTCAAAAGTGCATGAAAAAGTAAGCGTCTAGTGCTAAATTCGTCCTGTGCAATGGCAGTTTATGCTCTGAAGTGGAAATCTAAGATCTAGAATGATCTTCCAAGGTAAATTTGGAAGCCCCATCGATGGGGCTTATCCAAAGTTAGATTGGGTAAAATAGTAGCAGATATATAATAGAACAGTCCTGAGAGAGAGTCAAAATGAAGTGATCAGTGTCTTTCATCTCTAATTTCTAAAATTCGGAATGAGTCTTTATAATGGGAAAGAAGTGAACAAGTCAAAGAAACTTTATTTCCTGTTTAATTTAAATACTTTATCACTTGCAGAATTATTGTAAAATGTCACAATAGTCTGCGGAACCAAGCCTTTAAAGAATTACAGAAATCCTACTGCAGCACAACTTGCACTGTCTAGCAAATGTGGCACTAACTAATTAAAACAAATTCAGAAAATGAAAGAGCTGCCAATTTTGCTGGATGCCATTTCCATGTATAGAAGAGTCTCACGGACACTAAAGCACTTGCAGAATAACTGTCAGACTAATGCTCTTGTACTTGCACTTGCCATCCACTATTTTCTTAGCATAACAAACTGCGTGGATTATTTTCTATCTTACAGTTTGCAAATCAAGGTGTTGAGAGGGAATAGAACCCAGGAGTTCCATTTATAACTATAATTCTTTATAACTAACTTTAAAACTATCCCCTCCCCCTTCCAAACTGTATATCTTTACAATCTGGTACAGGCAGAAGTGAATGTTACCCTTTCCTTCTCCAGGTGACAGTCTGCAGGCTCCGGACACATCAGTGGTGTTTCATTCTATTTAACGTTGTGCTTTTCCATGCCTTGCTCTTTGGAGGAGATCTGCTGGAGGAATACTTTCTACGGTCATTACCCATCACATACACAGATGCAAAGATTCTCGAAATCCGGGAAAAGGCCAGGAAGTTAGACATGGAGCCCCATAAGACCAACATTTCGAAGTCCTACATCATCAGTGGTTCTGAGGCATGTTCAAATCAAGAGGTATTTCTTCTCACCATCATCTGCAGCAGACCAGAAAACAGGACAAGACGCGATGCCATCAGACAAACATGGAGTAACATGACCAGCATCAGGGGATACACTGTCCTTACCTTGTTTGCCTTAGGAAAGCCGTCTGCAGAAACCATGCAGCGGGAGATCAACGAAGAGTCTCAAAAATACAGTGATGTCATTGAAGGAAACGTCCTCGATTCTTCCAGGAATCAGACCTGGAAGACTGTGATGAGCATGGAGTGGACTGTAACTTTCTGCTCCCATGCCAGGTTCATTCTCTTAACCGAGGAAGAAGTCTTTGTCAGCCTGCCAAGTCTGGTTGAATACTTGCTTAGTTTACGAACACACCTGGAGGATATTTATACTGGGAGGGTCATTCACCAAGGGGTACCTGACAGAGACCCTCAAAGCCCAGGCTTCGTTCCCCTCAGCCAATACCCAGATGAGTATTACCCTGACTACTGCAGCAGGACAGCATTTGTCATTTCCCAGGATGTTGCACGGAAGGTGTTCATTGCTTCCAAGGAAGTGCCAGTCTCGGTGCCTCCAGATGTCTTTGTTGGCATTTGTGCTAAGAACGCTGGCATCATTCCCCTTCACAGCTCCCGATTTTCTGGGAAAAGGCACATCAGATACAATCGATGCTGCTACAAATTCATTTTCACCTCTTCTGAAATGGCAGATGACGAACTGGTGCAAGAATGGCAGGAAATAAGCAATGGAAAAGACTGCACTTTACTGGAAACTTATTATGGGCTGGTGTCCTGCAAAGTCTTGACCTACTTTGACAAGTTTAAGCATTTTAACATAGATGTGATAAAAAAAGAGGCTTTGCATTTTAGTGATTAGGATGCAACTTCTCTGCGAGGAAAACTGATACTGTAACTCCTGGGGGTGGTGTTGCTGTGGGAGCAAAAGTTCGTTTTTTGCTCTGCGTATTTCCTCTCAAAGTTCATTTTTATATGAAAGTTTCCTTCCTTTTGTCCCTCATGGCAGTGAATTTATTTTTGATGTTAAAAAAAAAAGAGATGTGTGCTAACCCAGAGGTTCAATGTATGGTAACAAGTGCCCTGGATGTGCTCTATTCACATAAATACTGTACAGCTGCATGCACGCGTGAGGTTTTCCAAGTAAAAACTGTCTTAAGAATAATGGTATGCATCTGGTATTTCTCAAACAATCCACCTTTCACCTTCTCCAAGTCACGGGCTACATCTGCAGCTTTGATCCCACCCAAGTGAGACAGGCATCATTCAATCCCTGTGTGTTGCAGAATAGGGATAGTGTATCACTTGAATGACATGCAGCCATTGTGACATCTGTTTAACAGCGCATAGCAAAGCCAGTCAATAGTTTGACTGGAAGGATGAAAAGAATATCCCTTTGAAACTCCCAGGAGAGTGCTTTGATAAGCAGGAGTCAAATGCATTTCCACTTTTACCTATGCCCCTGTATTTTTAATAATCAACAATGACCTCTGGTTCAAAAAAAGCCTGCAGCAGCTCTAACCCCGTTAAGCTTTGTGCTAGAGAACAGGATGAGTATTGAATCAGTAGAAAGAGAGCCACCTACCTTATTTGCCAATTCATAACTCCATTACAACCATGGTACGGTTGTATGGGAACATCCCATGCTTTCAGCACGCACAGCCTCTGAAAAGAAAGGAAACAGATACATGTTAGGCACCGACGCGGCCTTGACACTGCATCCCAGAGCTGGAAACCCCCACGGGAATGATGTGCTTACAGTTCACTGGCTGGGATCTAGCCACACAGAGGGATGAGATGGATGATCATGATCGGAGTTCAAGATACCTGTCCCTCTGTAAGGCCTGAGTCTCTCCCCAGCGATGTGATCAAAAGAACTAGGTGCATGTGTACCTGGTAGGAACCAGGCCTTATTTCAGCACTGAGCTGCACAGGTTCCGTCAGTAAGGATGCCTCAACTGAAAAGCATCATGTTAGAACTAATGGCAGGGCATCTGTGCCACCCACAGGCAGGAAGGGACAAAGAACAGAGATCCAGAAATTTGCCCCAGTTGGAAGCTGAGTGGATGTGGACAGCTATTTCTCCAGGCATCTAGAGCACAGGAAGCTCAGGGAAGGGGCCCATTTCCTGCAGCGTGGTGTACTCCGCTGAATGAGATCAGACCCAAAGGAACAGGCCCCTACCAAATCCCAAATGACATGGGATCAGACCTGATAAATGCCTTCCAATTTTCCCCCTAGTTGATTTAAATATACTGGTTAATCATTCTGCTACACCAATTCCCCAAGTGGAGAGGCAGCAACACATTCAGCAGCCATACTGGCACATCTGTGTTCAGCTTTTGTAATTTATTATCATTCAGAAAATAAATTAGGGCCCCTTCTCAACCAGCTGTACATGATTAACAGCGCACATTACCTAAGAGCAAAAACATTTTTAGCAAAGGGAGCAAAGAGCAACATGTCTGCAGTGCAGTCTCCAGTTTCTGACAACTTTCAGGCTCATACCAACAGCACACGAGGGGAGCTCAGGCTCAGGCACTGTTCAGAGGAACAATGGAGTTGGCAGCAAACCCTTTCACCAAGGGGACAGGGGAAAGGGTTTCTGGAAAGCCAAGCTCTTCCTTTCATACCTTTTTTCAGTACCACTTCCCCAGAAGGTCAGTAAGTGCCAGATACAAGTTAAAGGTCAAGCCACCAAGATCGTCTGAAGATGGAAATAGCCTAGGGCTGAAAGCATGGCTCCTGTCACAGAAGGGAGTCTGAAGCTGCTGAGTTTCTGAAACTGGGAAGCCAATATTACTGGCTGAAGCTGAGAGAGAATTTATTTTCTGACTGGTAGAGAAATATAGGTCATCAAAAACCTACAAGTGACTTCCTCTTCCAGAGAAGGAACCCGGAACAGTGCTCGAGGGAGAAACAGCACAGCCTAAAGAATAATTCTCCATGTGCATCTTCCAGAACACGCCCCCAAACACTGGCTAATGTGAAGTGACACTTCAAAGCACACAAGGAAGAGACTTGCAACTTGTAAAAAAGTTTATATACTAGTTTACTTTTACTGAAATTTCAATACAGGGCTCATACAATGGTTACCAGCACACAAAATCTAACTAAACCCATAACATGGAGACTAGTCAGTCCAAGGAAAAGCAGGTATTTTTAACTACTTTCAACATAGCTTAAAAACATTTTTTTTTTAAATGGTTTCCACATGCAGGATTTACAGCGTTTCTGGTGATGGTTTCCCTTAATGCAACAAACAGGTTTGCCCTTTTTCCTGACAAGGGAGAGAGACACTAAAATATTACACTGTCCAGTATCAGGTACCACAGATGTAATTATTTATATAAGGCTTTCTGACAGACAGTTCTAACCACAGGATAAGGGCCGATATCCATAATAATTGCAGTTCATGTACATAAGTAGAAGTTGCTTAACAAGTTACTCTACATTGAGAGAATGAATTAAATCGCTTTCCCTCTCCACCCCCTAACCCTCTGGGCACCCTGAGCCTTTGTCTGTCTTGTCCCATTTATGACGACAAGTCTTGCATCAAAGACAGGGATGGTATTTCTCCTCCTGCCCAAAACCCACACACAGCCAGAGGGGTGCTGCAGTGCAATCGAGGCGATTCACTCATTCACCATGGCTTGGCAGGATGGGCAAATGACCAAGCCACTGCCATACTGTGCGTCTAACCTGATGTATTATTACAACATTACGAGGTAACCTTAGTGTTCCCTTAACATCATTTTTTTTAAATTATGCAATAAATGGTATTTTACGCCCTTAGCAAAAGTAAACTGATGGTTTAAATTACGGCAGAACACAAATATTAAGTAAACTTGATCTGTGGACTGACAGACACCAGCATTACCAAACTAACTAACCAATGGTCTAGCTAGCCTGGGACCTCATCCCCACAACAGCTTATCTTCAGAGGAGGACGTACACCCACATACTACACACAAGCTGTTCTAGAAGTTTTCCTCCTTGGTTCAGTTTATGCCTTTACACACTAAGCCTTGATGCCTTATTGCATATAGTTGTTTTAAATAAAAAAATATCTATATATAAAAAAAAAAAAAAGCGAGAACTAGTTAAAATTTGGTTCTGAAGTAGACAGACTGACCAAAGAAGAGCATATTCATATCATCTCTTCAACATGTAATCCAAGCTGCCAGCGAGAAATAGCATCTAACAGCAAAGTCAACATTTCCCATTTGTTTTTGTACCTGCTTTATCAAAGGTGAATATTTGCAAAAAAGTTCGAGATTTTTTACATTCACTCTGACCGTACAAATGTAAACAATATTTAGCATCATCCATTCATGTGAGATGCATGTCCAGCGAAGGAAACTGAAAATAAGGAGTCTTCTACGTGCCATCTCATGTTAGTATGAGAACTCCCAGGATTTATCTATTTTGTTTTAATAAAATTTAATCTTTAATGACATGTGGTCAGTTAGGACAGGATTTTCTACTGGTGTACCACATGAGAGAGAAGAAAAAAAAAAAAAAAGAAAGAAAGAAAGATATTTCCTAAACTTCAGCATTTGATGTTACAGAATCTGCTTTTTCTTTGATTTTACAAGAAAACATGATGAGAGCCTCAAAACCAGGAACTCTCAGTCTAAACATATACCAGTAACTTCTGCAAAATAAAACATAAATCAGCTACTGACAAAATGCTCATCTCAGTCAGTGTTATTTTTAAACAATATAATATGCACCCATACAGAAGGGGGACTTATGTATACACCATGATACCCTTAAGAAAGTTACACTGTGCCCTATGGTTGAGAGTTACTCTCCTGACCCTGTCATTTCCAACAGTGTCAGATACTTGAGTTCCTTCCATGAGGTCAAATCCCCTGAACTGGAGTCACTTTGTACTAAGCACTGCTCCAGTACTATGGGGATTGCCAGAAAGGAAAAATGAGGAGTGAGTGATACTATTCTGCTCCTTCCACAGCAGTGGTAGATACAGCCTTAACATAGTAAGGACCTTCACGCAGGTAAGCCTTAAGCCTTAGGAAATACTGGTTTCCAAAGATTTCAGCAATTGTCTTAGAATTGACAAGGGCCTTAACCAGTTCATATTTGGCATCCTTTGAAGGCTTGTCGGGTTCCACAGATCGGTCTACGATGTATTCTATGAATCCTGGACTTTCAAGCATCGATTTCTGGGCCCACGGCTGGCTTGCAATGGCCTAATCAAAAGAAAAACAATAAATCACTTTAAAATGCTGAGACAGTAAGCCAGTGGGTAAGCTACAGCAGGGCTGAACATGCAAGTGTAATCAGATAAGCATTCCAGGCAACAGGAAGCAGACAACTAGAAGACACTGGATGCCACTGAAACCAAAAGAACTTACACTGGACACAGTCCAGAGTAGTGTTTTTTTCCCCCCTTTGATTTCAAGTGAATTATGAAGAACTACTACTGTGACATGCTGGCAGGAGGAAAGGTGGTAATTCAATTCCCTGTTTAGTTCATAAGAAAACAAAGACAACAGAGCAGACTCATTTGGTTTCCAGTTTCAATGCTATTTGGGTTTTCATCTGTTGTGCAAGGTTCATGCACAGAAGATGAACTAGAGATCCCTCAACACTAGTTATAGCTTCTAGATGGATATACAGAAGGGATGCTAAAATTATTCATTTTAATTCAGTCATCAGGACAAGAGGTTATGACCTGGAATGGAAGTTACAACTTCTAGCCTCATTCAAGGAGGGGAAAAAAAAACCCCAACAGAAAACAAACTCACAGTAAATACTCTTAAAGCCCCACAGTGGAGATCAGGAAACGGCTGAGTGCTGATGCCCCTGAAGAGCTCCAAAGGCTGGCTTGATAAGGAGGCAAACCAGGATTCAGTCATTCTTAGGAGGTCTTCTGTCTGCTGGTCTGGCTACAAAGAGACAGAGAGAGACTGGTGACCAATGAATTACTATTACCTAGCATTTACCAAGTACTCATATTTCACTTTCATGCATCAAAACCAGAAGGTTACACACTTCCCCACCAGCAAAAATCAGCGTGTGTTCAATAAGTGTTTCATCAGGGATCATTACAACCACTGAACCATTAGGAAACTTGACTTAACCTCTACAAGATATATAGTAATAATCTTCTACACTGTAAATAAAACTTACTGGCAAGTAAAGAAGAGAAGATATGGCATCCAAGCACCGAAGTCTTAGCTCTGTTGGAGCATTCTTTGCGTGGTGCCCAATTCTGTTCAGCAGATCTTGGAACCGACTCTCTTGGAGGCGAAAAAAAATAAAGCGTCAAAAGAGGTTTCACTTCAAGTGACAGGACTGACAACTTTTGTACTCTGTCCAGCTGTTACTATAAGTACTGAAGAATGCACTGTTGGGGAAAGGGAGGTTTCTTGATGTACTAACTGCCTTAAATGGTTCTGAAATTGCATCAAATTCTTGGTGTCCTGGACACTCTCAAGGCTACCAAAAAGGAAGGAGACAAACGAAAAAATAGCATAGTTGCATTTTTCTACTTGGAATGAGAACTCCTTTATCTCATTTTAAAAAGCCAGCGAAGTAGATAGCTGCCAGGTGTCAACTTTTGTTACTAAACTGAAATATATCTGATCAGCAGTGAGAAGTCCTCCATTTTTTTTCCAATTCTATAAGACTTCAGCCTATCATCTAATCTTATTCTGAAGAAAAACATATGATTTCTAAAACCAGTATCAAGTCTTTTCCTCACTTTTAAATTCTAATGTCAGCAGAAGGAAGGAAAGCAATCTACAACTATAGTGTCATCATGGACTTGCACCACACTGGTCAGTAGAAACTAAAATAAGTGTTACTTAAAGTTCTACTAATGTAAGTATATTTGAAACACCAGGAATTCTAGCTTACAGCACAAGACGTAATCTGATACTGTGTCTGATCCGGACTAATAATGCCATGTATAATTAAACTCCTCTTGATAGACTGTAGCCCTTCTCTTTGATCAGAATGCAACTACTATCAAAATTAGAGAGAGGTAGTAAGCAATAACTTATGCTCATGTTTTGCAGCAGTTAAAACAAACAAAAAACTTCAGTTGTAAAATTTAGGTAAGCAGATATATGTTTTAAGATTCCTTTCCCAACTTTAAACGTTAAATGTCTCTCTTCAAAGAGCTCCCCTTAGTTTTATTAGAATATAGGAAAAAAATGATACAAACTAGTTTTCTGCAAAACCTGTTTTCCTTCCATATTTGATCCTAGGATTGCAAGCGTGTCCACAGCTACTCCAATCATGGTTGGGTCATGACCTTCTGCCATTTCAAAGACTTTTTCCACAAACACAGGGTACTGTTCACAGATCTGCTGAGGGCTGTCTACAATAGCCAGATTTCCAAAAAATTTAACAAATCCTGTCCAAAGCAAAACAAAAGATATTCAACCAAAATAGAAAGTCAACTTTCATGGTGTAATAAGTCAATGGGAAAGAGATATAAAAGGAAACTTCCCCACCACTGCATTATCAAACACCACCAAAATAAAGCTATTTGCTGCTATAACTGACACTTCTAATGTGGCAAGCAGTGGTTGTGAAAGGTGCCAGAACACCATTAGATAGGTCAGTATTTTAAAAAGCAGTGAGTACAGAACAGAGAGGTACAGGCATCTTCCAACTCTCAAGGAACACACAAAAAATTGCCAACTACCTTTATAAATACATACATATATAAAAATGTCACCCTAGCCTAGATATACCCTGTGTGCGCTACAGTTTCTCAGTGACAGAGCTGTAAGTACTAGAGTAGTTCATTTTTTTTATCACCTACTTAAATTTTGACAGCTCTGCCGAGACTGCTAACAAGAAAGCCTATATAGTTGCAAGAAAGTATGAGAAAGACACCTGCACAGTAGTAAACAGGCAGAAACAAGTGCCATCCACTTTCATTTAGTTTATATGATAAGTGGCCAATACCAAAATATCGGATCAAAGCCACAGCTTCTCAGTATTCAAGCAGGATGTAGTTCATTTACATGCCCTTCTCTTTTCTTGATCTCTCCCCCCACATTCTAAAACCCTGGTCTGTCCTTCAAGAAGGCACATGGATTGGTTAGACTTAAAAATGTTTTTAAAATAATTCCCCTAAATCAAAAAAACCTGTAGATTAATTAGATATTTTTCATTATTTATGCCCTCAATTCATTTAATTCACCTCAGATAAGAAAAATAAGACTCATCATTCCCAATTGTGACACACAAATGTTTTGTCCTAAAAAAAAAAAAAAAAACAAAACAAACAAACAAAAAACCCAAAACCATCAGGAATATCCCTATATTAAAAAGGACTGGCATAAAACTTAAAAGGAAAGCAAAAAAAAGGTTACTTCTGTCCAGATACTTTAAACATCTACTCTTGGAAGAAACACCACAATTGTTGCATCTAAACAATTAGAGAAAAAGAAAATAGTTGTCTTTGACCAAGTAACATCGAAAAATGCAGTTTATTCTACTTCCACGGTGTAACAAAGGAGGAAAGACATTTTAATATATAAAATACCCTAATATTTTTTTTTAATCTTTCAGAAGGACAGTACCCAAAACTGCTCTGTGTCATGCCTTTGCCTTGACTTACTAGATTTCAAGTTTACGGGAACCCTTTAAAGCTATGTTTAGCAAGACCACAGACAATTAAATTGTGTGTCTACAGCACATGACTGTACCCGTGAAGCATTTTTCCTTTTCACAGTCAGTCAAAAGAGTATTCATGTTTTAGACTGAACCATGTTTCTACACACACATTTCCCTTCAAACTAAAACAGAGAATTAGTAAGGATTCTTTATTGGAAATAATTAACAACACATTTACCTGGCAAGTAGAAGCCTGAGAACGGATCAGAATCTGCACCAATGATTATATTAGAAATTTTATCAATGATCCCTTGTTGGGCAAGATACCGACGTCCATGCTGAGTGTAAGCCAAAGAGGTCACCATCTCAATGCAGGTTGTTCTACAACAAATAGAAAAATAAATGCTCACTTGGCCTATTGCAGAGTCTTTTTAAAGAAACCAGAGATTTTTCAGAGAACTTCAAAAGGATAAGAAAAACATTTTTCTAGGTCTTCCAGCCATTTTTGAGATCCCCATACAAGTTGAACGAATACTCGTATTGCAGTATACCCCAATCAGGATGTGTCCAAATATTCCCAACACAGTATAAAAAACAAAAAACAAAACAAAACTTATTTTTCTAAGTTCTTTTAAGATTGTAAGTGGCAATGAGAAATGCTAGTTGAAGAAGCCAATTCCTAGCCACTACACATCCAGAGTTAACCAAGATCTAATTATTTCTAGAAATGTTAAAAACAGACAAGACTACATGCATTCTAGACTGACTAATAACAGACTTTAAACATATCCCAGTGAGACCACCAACCTGCATCAGAATCTGCTAGCAGATTTCCTGAACACCTGAGGAATCCCAACCTAAATCAGTATTTGGCCACTGTTTTCAGAAAACAAGTGATAAACTGGTTTCCTGAAAGCAGTACCCAAAGAGATGTATAAAAGGCATTGGAGGACAGTTATGTTCCAAGAGGAGAAAAGATGTCAAACCTGTGCACACAAGCTACGTAAAACTACAGACCGGTTCAGTACAAAGCAGCCAAGGGACGTACGTAGCAGAGAATAGGATAATGTGACAACATACCTGACCAGCACATCCTCTCCAGTCAGCTCGCCAAGCAGGTCAGATATTAATCCACTGTTTGCACAGTAATTCAAAGAATCTGCTGACACTGAAGAAATCTCAACAATTAACTAAACAAAACACAAGAAGGAGGAAATCTTATAAGAATTTATCCATGTTGAATTAGGATTATAAAGTTATATAGGCCTATAAGCATTTAACTTTCCAAATATCTACCTGAAAATATTACTACTTAATCCCCGTTTCTTATCAATTTATTTCATAAATGACTTAGATTTTCTGCTCATCCATTTGGTTTCTTCTTGCATCCTATCTTGTACAATTTAATCTACTAAACAAGACTGCAAGTCTCACCGTGCACTTTCATGGCCCACCCCATTTCAAAAGTAAGAGAGACATGAAGTACCACTTGTAATTTCAGAGAAGAGTATCCCTTTTCCTTCCCAATCTTTTTTGCCATCCAGAAGTGCACAAAATCTTCAAGTCAGTTGACAGTGATAGACTTGTTCCATCTTGCAAACACTCTATCAAATCCATAATCATAACCCATAATTACAACTCATTAGAACTGCGGTGCCTTCTAATTTTGGCACTAAAGGCTAGATCCTATTCCACCTACTAGATGCTTAAGTGGACATTGGTGTCTAAGTGTGATCTTGTTCCACCTGGCTCACATCCCTGAAAAACTGTTAATGCAAAAGGTGGGTGGGTCCTCCTCCTCGCTGTTTTTTTTAGAACTTAATCTTAAAACTCAGCATGCTACAAAGATGGACTAATGGATTTTCAAGGACAAACAGGGTTGAATTAAAATCACACTTAAGACCTACATCCTACTCCACCAAAGAAAACTATATTTCTCTTACCTCATATACTCTATATCGTACAATATCACTTGTTCCCATGACATTTTTCAAGTCAACTAACAGACTTCTTCCAAATAAAGCCTCAAGCCCATCTTGGGTCTGTGCTATTCTTGACAGCGATTTGATGGCCTACAAAAAAACCCAACAAAACAGCAGCTTGCAATTATATGCATTATATACACAAAGAGAAAACAATGAAAACATCAGCTGAATTGTCCCTTACCAGGCAGTAAATACATTATACATCTAAACCTAAGCTTTGACAGTGGGAGTTAACTGAAGTCACTGGTCTGTCTGCTGAGTCTAACATAGGCAAGTCTCTTGTAACTGGACCAAAGCCTGTCAATTCAGTTCAAAGGTCCACTACTATCAAGAGACAAGGATGCTGGTAAGATTTTTCTCAACACATTGGAGCCAAAGTGCCTTAGATGCTTTTGAGAAGTTTGCTCTCTGGGGCTCCCAGCCTCTCATTTCTTCAGTATAATAATCAAGGCTACCATTTTAGCCACAACAGATACCGTATACAATACAAGGAACCCTTCAATTAATGGGGAAAAAATTGAAAAAAAAAAAAAAAGGTTCACAATGCTTACCTCTTTAGCTACAGATATTTTCTCCCCACCAATGCAATAAATGATCTGCCTTAGTAATTCAGGATTACCAACAACTTCTCTAACGGCATCTGAATTTTCAACTATCCTTCCAACCTGAGAATTCGATTGAACATAAAGTATTAGTTTGTTTCCATCAATTTCAAAACTACACACAAAAGTTGAACCAGTATTTAAATATTTTAAGTAGAAATTTTAAATCTATAGAAAAGCAGCATTTCCCAGAAAATTATGCAGGTCAGCTATGTCAATTACTACACTTACATCTCAAAGTTCGTGTTATCAAATTAGTGCCTACAAAGACCACAAGAAACCAGTGTTAGTTTTTCCTGACAGTTTAGGAAGCTCTCAGCAGCTTTGTTTGCCCCCTGTCAGTGCGCAAAAGCCAACTCCTTCAGTTCCCATCTTCAGCGAACACAGCATAACTCTTCTTGGTAAGTACCATCACGCCAAGTATCCTGGGACCAGACAGGAATCTGACAGCAGGTTGCTCATTTCTTTGCATCACTGGATTACTATTTTAGCTGACTGAATCAGCAAGACTTCAACAAACAGGTGCCCCAAGTTCTTTCACGTGTTCAAATATTTCAGCAGCTTCAGTGTTGAGAACCAATGACACCCTGTTTAAACTGGGCATGAGTCTCAAGGAGAAGCAGCAACTCTTTTATTTGAGGAAAATGGAAGAGTGCACGGCAGTAGCGTGGGGACACAGCCAGGTCCCTGCCTGGGACAGAGGCAGAGTCTACTGCTGGGGGGCCGCGCGATTGATTACACAGCACCCTCCCTCCCTCCCTCCCCACGTCAGCACCTGGGGCAACCGCCCCGTTTCCCCTGCCCTAGTTATGACACCAGCACACGCTCGCTGGACTCCAAGTCTATCTGTTAATTCAAGGACTGGTTTGCACAGCTCATCCACAAAACGAAACGCAACCGACAGCATTTAACACCCGACGACATTCTTGAGAGCCTGCAGCAAATGAGGTGTTGATTTGCTACCCGGATTTTTTCCAAGACTACTATTTTAAGCATTTTGCCTGGTTTTGAAGAACAGAAAGCGCACCCGTTACATCATCATTTCCTACCGAGCACAGTGCCATTTCTGCTCGGGAAACTTTCTGCACCCTGCCCTGTAAGATACATTTAATAACCCCCCCATTCTCAACATCATCCGCCACTTGACTCTGCTTCTGTGCCTCTTATTGTAGCTCCAAGTGTACAACACAGTTATTGCTCCATTGGCAATATCACTTACTCAAGTGCTGGAAAGGCACCGTGCACAGCATTACACAGATGTGTTATCGTGCGCAACGCCACAGGTTATAACGTTAGTGCTTTCGTCCTGGCTTGGTAGTGGGATGTAGAGAGTTAAATAGTGTGCGCGTCTGTCAGTATGCGCACGCACAAATATGCACGCGCAAACACACATCTACATACAGAACGGCAGGTCACCACGCGCAGCCGCGGCAGGCGAAGACGCCGCTGTTTCGAGCAGAGACGACCGCGCTTAACCTACCTGCGAGATGGTGAGGATCTTGACAGTGTCGTCGGGGTGGAAGAGCCCTTCCTGCAGCTCGCCCCGGAAGTTGCGGATGACATCCAGCGGGTCCAGGGCCTGAAGGAACCGCTCCAAGATGGACACGCACAAGGACACCTGCTCCCTGTGGGCGGGGGAGGGGGGGGAAAGGCCCGTGAGGCGCGGAGACACC